CTCAGCTTGGCAAAGGTGCTGGGCCCTAGGCATATTTCCCCTGGGGTCACTGAGCCCTGGCTCAGCTTGTCCAGGGTGGGGAGCAAAGGTTTTGCCCTCAGGAGGGTGGTGGGGTCCTGGGAGGACAGCTATGGGGTGAGAAGACCATCGTGGATGTGAGGATGGGTTTGGGCCAGCAGCAGCCATCAGGCCTCCCTTGCCAGGTGAGAAAGGGGCTGGTGGCTTGTCATCTCTGGAGGGAGCACAAGAGGTCTCTCTTCCCAGGGTGACACCACTACTGGGGTGCCAGTGGCCTGACTGGCTGCCTGTCAGGGCACTGACTGGCTGGGGCATCTCCAGCTCTGCTGCCAGGCTTGTCCTGGAAAGGGGCATACCCACAGCCATACCAGGGCAGGGAGGGAACCCCCGGGAGGGAACCCCCAGGAGGGAACATGCTATGTCCCTACAGTAGTGGGCAAAGTTCTGGTGAAAAAGCATTTGGGCTTTCTCCTCATTTTAAATTTAAATTTAAAACAAGTTGGTTTAAGTCTGCTCAGTAATTACCTCAGCCCTTCCCTCTGTGCGTCCCCAGGATGGTGCTGCAGGCGATGGGCTGTGATGTAACACCGGGGATTGCATCACCACTGTGCTCGGGCACAGCACAAACCATCACAGCAGTGACAGCTCATGTGCAGAGAGGTGCTGAAGGGTTCTGGGGCACGTAGCTGGGCCAGGGGCACTTTGGTGGCACTGACACCCGGGGCTGGCAGGGACAGGTCGGGCAATGGCTGCTAAGTGGAGCCCACCTGATGTCCCCTGTCCTGGCACCATCAGGCCCTGGGCAGGTCTCCCACACACCACATGGGGGTTTATTTTTAAAGATGGCTTTTTTGGGGCACAGTTTCTGTCCCTTCTATCTTCTTTTCCCAGACTAGTTACTTTAGCAGGAGCCAATTCCTCCTGGACAAGCCTGCTGGCTACAAAAAGGGACAGGAAGGAGCCACCTGGGCTCATCCTTGCCCACTCCAGTGGCATTGCCTTTGCCCAGGATTTTCCCACGCTCGTGCCACGTAGCAGCTGATGAGTCACCATGGAGCAATTACCTTACCTGGTGCTGGTGCCCTGTCCACAGCCATGTTTCACTTTCCTTCTCACACCTGGAACTTCCTACGTGCCTGGGATTTCTTGCTCTGAGCAAGCTCAAGTGGCTCCAGCCTGCTGGGCCACATGAATCCAAGGGGGCTCCACCATCCTCCTCCATGCCGCTCTCCTGGCATAGCAGTGTCTGCAGCCGGGGCTGGAGCAATGGCTGTGGTGGGTCCCCAGTGTCCTGCACACCCTGCCAGGCACTGTGTGGTGTCCCCAGCCCATGCTGGCCGGGGGGGACCCTCCCCTGCCATGGCAGGAGCTGCCACTGGCACAGTTTGGAGGAGCTGTGGTGAATTCAGCCAGGCCTTGCTGGCTGGACTGGAATATGGTGGAGCATGGCATCACCATCACTGTGTGAGATGCATACCAAGGCCCAGGATGGCAAGAGCCCACATCCCACTGGGAAAAATCCCCTGATTCTGTTCAGCCAGGCTCCTGGGGGTTTGGCTGTGGCTGCAGGTGAGTGTGGCACAAATACCTGAGCAAGGCACCCAGGAGAGATCCTCACTCCTCCATCCCACCCACCCTGAGGGCTGAGAGCCACACTCATGGCCCAGCTTTACCTCCCCAGCTTTCGCTTTTCTTCGGTGCCTCTGAATTTCCTTTTGTGTGTGTGAAGACACAAGGTTTCGCTTTACTTCTCCAAACAGAAATGACACCTGGGACATAAAAGCCACAGTGATGGGAAACAGGAGCCAAAGCTGGGTCCCACGGGGATGTGATGCTGCTGTGACCAGACGGGTGACCCAAGAGCGTCTCGGCAGGGATTTGTTGTGTGGGACAGTGGTTCACGGTGGATCACCCCTCTCTCATTGAGGAGCATATTTCTTTTTTAAAACTGCTGGGATTTTCTGCTGAGGTACTGTCTGTTCCAGCTGAGCTGTGCCTCACTTGAGCGACATACATGGCATTATTTATGCTGGTTTGGGCTTTTATTTCAGAGCTATATCGATCATGGACTTTGTTGCACCAAACCAAAATTATTCTTCTAAGTCTGTGGTTTTCTTTAATGGAAACACAGGAAAAGAAAAGGAAATGAAAGGAAATGAAATGAAACACAGAGCTGTTGTCCTGTTTACTGAGAGGGTAGGCGAAGGAGCCAAGCCCAGAGCTCAGGCTTTTAATTACTGACCTCATTCAGCCTGTTCCCAGGGGGCAGGCTGGCACGGGAGCCTGGTCCTGTGGCCATATCTGTGGCTGGAAAACCTGTGCCCACCACGCTTTTACCACCATCTTTTACTGTCCTGGCTCTTGTATCTGCATCCAACTCGGTCAAGGTAAAAATACTCACTGTCCCATCTATGCTGCCCCCTCCTCTTCTTTATTTCCATCATGGTTTTCCAGGAAAAACCTGAGCAATCTGAGATGCTGCTGGAGCAGAGGAAGGGCTGGATGGACCTTGTGAGTCAACAGCTGGTCCTGCTCTGCCTCTTGAGAAATTATCTGGACAATGAGGCAGAGGGTACCCTCGGTGTACCAAGTTTTGTGGTGACCCCAAACTGGCAGAAGTGGATGACACAGTAGAGGGTCATGCTGCTGTCCACAGGGACTTAGACAAGCTGGAGAAATGGGCTGCACCTGAAGAGGAACAGCCCCAGGCACCAGGACGTGCTGGGGGCTGCCCAGATAGAAACCACGCATGGCAGAAAAGGACCTGGGGGTCCTGGTGGGCACCAGGTTGAACATGAGCCAGAAACATGTCCTTGTGGCAAAGAAGTGAATGGTATCTGGGGCTGCACTGGGAAGAGTGTTTCCCAGCAGGATGAGGGAGGTGATCCTTCCCTTCTACTCAGCACTGGTGAGGCCACCCCTGGGGTGCTGGGTCCAGGTTTGGGCTCCCCAGGGGGAGAGAGACATGGCACATATTGGATAGAGTTGAATCAATGTCATGAAGATGTTGGACAGGAACATCTCTCCTACAAGGAAAGGCTGAAAAAGGAGGTTTAGGCACTCTTGGTGGTGCCTACTGACAGCACAGCAGAAAAAAGCTACAACCTGAAACATGTGAAAGGGTATCTGAACACAAAAGAACACTCAGAGAGGCTGTGGAGTTGCCACTCCATCCTTGGAGTTATTTAAACTGGACACAGTCCTGGGCAACCCATGCCAGCTGACCCTGCCAGAGCAAGGGTTGCACTGGATGATGTCCACCTCCATGACCACATCCATGCCACTCTGCCCACCCATGGGTGTATCTTTCCACAGGCTTGCTCAAGAACTTTTCTTGTTCTCTTGGATTCTTTGAAATCAGCAGTTTATTTCCAAATGCAAACATTAAAAATCAAGTCCTTCTGGATCAGTGTTTTCCTGTGCACAGCCACCACACGACGCTGCAAAGTGCATTTATGCCTGTTGCTGCCTTACCATCTTGTCTTTTTAGATCCAGGCATTGCTCTCATTTTCTGTATTTAATGCTTGATGAATGCACAAAACTAAGAGCTCAGCAGCGATTGCAGGAGGTTACCTCGAGAGAGGGGCAGTTTGCTGACCGGGGGCACCGCTCCCCCCATCACTGGAGGGATGTCAATGCACCGTATTTGTGTTTCCAGGTTGAACAGGGAGGGAAACCCAGCCAGACCCAGCGGCTTGTAGGGTGGCAGCCCTGCTCATTTCCGGCAGCCTCCCTTCACGACTCTGTGTCCCACCTGGAAAACGTTAGGTGGAAGTGCTTCTGCCTTCACCTTTTCCCCTGTTTTGGTGGCACGCCTGGTCCCCCGGGATAACACAAGCATAAAGCTCGTGCCTGCAGCGTGCGCCGTGCAGTGCCTGCTCCCTGCCGCTGCTCCCCCCACTCCTTGCCATGGCCCTTCCTATGGGGAAACCGAGGCATGGACTGCTGCTGCCACGCAGGAGGCACTGAAACCCTCCTGGCTACCCTAAGTCTGCTGTCCCTGGGGGGCTGCGTGCCCGGGGTCTCCCGCAGCGCTCAGCGTGGGGCGGGGGTGGGTCGTGCCCGGTGTCCCCGCACTTGCCAGCACCTCTGTGCCACTCGGCGTGGCGGCGGCGTCCCCAGGCTCAGCCCCCTCGGAGGGTGTGTGCTGGAGGCAGCCCGAGCATCCCTCACCGCCGGCGCGCTCGCCCCGTCGAGGCGGAGTAGGGCAGGGCTGGAGGCAGCAGGGCAGGTAACGGAGGCGGGAATCCCGCCACCGGAGCTTTCGCTTTCCTGTTTCCAGAGCTGCTTAGTCCAGGCGTTGGAGTTTCCTTCTAACTTGAAAGCGCAATCACACCGGGCAGGTGGAAGGAATAAAAAGCTGGAGAGATGGGGCAGCAAGGCATCCACAGCCAGCAGAGCAAAGCTGCTCCCCTGGACAGCCCAGCAGCTCCACAGCCGAGAGAGCCACCTGTGGCACCTGTCAGGCACCTCTGCATCAGGAGTTTAGCGAATCCTCCCCGGAGTCCTCCGATTTATCCTCTCTGGCATCTTGCACCACAGCCTCCTCATCCCATCGTAACCCCCCGCTCACCATCGAGCTCTTGTCAACAAAATGCTGTGTCTCTGCCTCGCCCCACTGCTTGTGCTGGTGCTGGAGGTCAGCCTGGGGGCTGCCTTTCCCCATGAACCCCCGAGGAAGGGCTGCAGCCTGTTCAGGTACAGGCAAATCGAGAGGGATGAGAAGGAGGCTGTGAAGAAGATGCAGAAGGAGTTTGTGAGTATCGCTGGGGCTGGGCTGGGGAGGGGGGCAAGGCAGAGGAGATGCTGAATTTGAGACCTGAGTGACAAGGTGGATGTTTTCTGCAGAAGTGTGGGGAGGAGGAGGATGTTTTCCATGAGAGTTTGGGGACGTGAAGGATGCTGAGCCAAATTTTGTCCCGGTTTCAAACCCCGCACGGCGGGCAGGGTTGCACATCGCCAGAAGTCACAGTGACAGTTGTTCAGTCTCTCTCTTGCTTTGTGCCAGCAGCGCAAGATCAGGCAGCCGGGCCGCGACTGCAACATCTGGCTCTTCGATCGGGAGTGGATGCCGGCACACCTGTCGGTAAGAGCGAGGCAATGCTGTGACAAGGGGGCTCACCTCTCCTGTCAGCCAGTCTCACTCTCACATGCACCCCGGGCAGGTCTTCGAGACCCCCCTCCTCCAGCCCTGGCTCTCTGTGTCCCTAACCACACACTCCTGCCCACAGGTGCGCGACCGAGTGGTGCTGGTAGAAGCCGAGCTGGACTTCACCATCACGATGCTGCAGCTCTCCACCCACCCTGGCTTCACCAAGATGCGCCAGCGGCCCCTGGACTTCCTCACCCACGCCCGGGAGCATCTGCGGGGCTGTGTGAGTGCCCCCGAGTCCCCCACTCTGTGCCAGCTCCGTGGCCCTGGTGCTGTCGGCAGCGCCACGGGGCATCGCTGGTCCTTACCCTGCTGCTTCCCTTGCAGGTGTCTCCCTCACATCAGCCCTCGGGGGAAGTGAGCCAGTGGCTGCAGAGCCTGCAGGAGGCCATGGGAAGGGTAAGTCGGGTCAGCAGGGCCAGGGGGTCTCGGGGTGTCAGTGGCTGCATGGCTGCACCCTGAACCCAGCACTAACCCAGCCCCCGTCCCCGCCGCAGGAGAACATCGGCTGCCTGCAGGACTACGCCGTCCGCCACGTCCTCGAGGTGCTGGAAGACCTGAAGTGCACTGCCCTGCAGGAGCGATGCTCTTAGCCCCCACCACCGGCCCCAAAGGACACCCCAAGGACTGGGAAAAACAACTGCTATTGCATCGCTGGACTGTACTTCCTATTTAAGCCTTTTTTCTTACTCATGTGGGCTCAGAGAACAATTCTTTTTCACAATCTTTTAAATTATTGGCATTTATTGTGTACTTATAAATGTCTCAGGGGGAGGTGAAGAAATGCTCCTCCTGAAAGAATGGGAAATGAACGTATTTATTGGATATCTTTGTTTTGATGGTCTTCAAAATGTTTTCAAGAAAATCTATTTTTTTACCTGCTATTTATTACAGAGTATATTATGCATATTTGCCTGTATAAATTATTTTCTTGCATGCCATTTAATAAAGTAGATAACATAAGCAGACAAGCTGTCATCATGCTTTTTACTATGCTTTTCTGTAATACAACAGTACAGGTATTGCACTCACATCCTTGCAAGGACATTGTCCAAATGAAACCTCATTCCATTTAATTTGGGGACAGGGAGGGGAAAAAAGCCTGGATGTTGGGCTCTTTGGGGAGCTTTAGTAGATTTTATCAACTGGCCATGCCTCATCTACTGCCACCTGATGGCAGGAGCAGCACCCGAAGCAATGAAAACCCATCAGGAGGGAAATGCCCTTGGGCCAACACTACAGATAGGCAGGAAAAGCCCCAGAGGTGTGTCTGGAATTGCACGTGGACTCCTGGGTTTGGTTACACCGAGGCACAGCTAATCTCTCAAAAACCAGACAGCTCCAATGTTTTGTCTGTTTGGCCACGGACTCCCAGGAACAGGCAGATGCCATCAGTGCCTGTTTGGCATCCAATCTCCTGACCTTGGTCACAGTTTGATCCTTCAGTTTTGAAGTCTTGCAAGAAATCCCTTTCTCTGGAGCCTATTTGTAGCCAACATCTGGTGGGGGAGGTTGTTTTCAGAACATTCCTGAACTACAGTGCTGTGCTGTGATAGCCAAACAATGCATGGATCCGGAGAGAAAAGCCTAAGGAGGCAAGATGGTGTTTATTCATCCTCCAAAACAGGTGTATTTAGATTGTCCTGCTCTCACTGAGGTATCTATCAAGACACTGTTCCTTTTGCCAGGCAAAGGCTGTAGGCTCTAGTGATGGGGCAGCCAGGCTCCTCAGGAGCTGGGAGCAGGACTGCTGGGGACAGGGATGGAGCTGGGAAGTGCTGCAGCTGGCCAGTGTTAGGCTAATGCCCCTGCCAGCTTTTTGTAGCTCAGGGTAAGTCCTCTGCTTTTCCCAGAAGGTGACTGGAGGTGGGCAAGAAGCACTTTAGCTTTCCCTGCAGACTCCCAGAAGGAGTGCCAGGAGGGAAAAGCTGAGCACTAAGCCAATTTAAGGCCTCAGAGCATGGGTCCTGTGCTGGTTTAACTAGATTTGAGGAAGCTAAATTCTAGTTTCTTTGGGGGGAAGATGTGGTAGTATCGTTCCAGTGAAGGTTTAGGACACAGTGAGTATTTCAACAGCTGTCAGCCAAACTTTCCTTGTGTTCAGTCTCTAGCTTTGCCTTATCACACCTTCTAACCTGGATGCTGCTTTCATGCCTGATTCCCTTGTTAAATGGAAGCCACCAAATGGAAGAATTTTAGTTTATGCACCTATTTTGCAGGTGGAGGGGGCTGATTTAACACAATTGTTTCAGCTTCTAAAGATTTTGGTCAGAGTATTTATGATACCCAGGTAATGCACTCTCAATTACTAAATGCACTCTTATGATTCTTTTTTTTTTTTTTTTTTTTACAGATTTCATCTGATTCACTGTTGCTCCCACCTGATTGACTATTGCTTCCACTAATCTGCTGCTGGAATGTACAAACACTTGATCATTTTAAGCAGGTGCTAAGGCAGGGGTTGCAGCAAGCCTGGTTATGTTCCACTAGTGAAATCACCCTGACAATTGTTTTTTCCCGTCTTGGTGTGTTGCTATTTGCCACAGACTCAAACGTAATTCATATTACAGCTGAATCACGCCCTTTTCCACAGCTCTCTGAGGGCACTGTGAAACAACGGAAGGTATTGGAATAGGCTGCCCAGGGAGGTGGTGAAGTCACCATTCTCTGGAGGCGTTTCAGGAGAGACTGGACGTCTACTTGACACGGTGGTGTCGGGTCACAGGTTGGACTCGATGATATCAGAGTTTTTTTCTGCTTACAAAAGGTGAGGAAAAACTGATCCTGGGGACACACAGCTCGTCCGGCAGACTTCACTCCCCTCCCGGGCACAGTTGGACAGGGCAGCTCCTCCCCCTGAGGGGCTGCCCCAACATGGCGCCGCCCTCCCGGCCGCCAGCGGCCATCCCACGCCGCCACAGCCGCCAAGTCTCGCGAGAACCCCGCGGGGTCACTGCCCGGCCCTACCCGTGCTCTCGCGAGATCTGCGCTGGAGGAGGGAGGGAGGAGGAGACGAGGAGGAGGAAGGAGACGAGGAGGAGGAGGGAGAGGGAGCTGGAAGGAGCCTCCGCTCCTGCCTTGGCTGGTGCCGGGGATGGTGTTGGCCGCGGCAGCCGGGCCTTGAAGCCGCGCTCAGGTACGTGCGAGCCACCCCCCTTCCCTCAGCCCTTCCAGCCCGGGCCTGGCCCCTCCCGGCGCCCCCACAGCTCCCGGGGCGGCCCCGGCCCGCCGGGCCTCGGGGCCCGCCTGTGTCCCCCGGCCCAGCTCTGCCGGCCCTCGGAGCGCAGCGATCCCCCTGCCCTACCCCTGCCGAGGGGCTCCCGGCGGAGCTGGAGAATTCCCGGGGCTCTCGCGCCCTTCCCTGTGAATCAGCACAGTTCCTCCGTCTCCCTGGGGTTCTGCAGCGGAGAAGCTTTGCTTGAACTGCTGGGGGCTTCCTTGCCGTGCTCCACTGGAGTTTGGAGTGTAGCTGAAGCGAATGATTTCCGCAATGGTCACGCTTCTCTTGGGTTTCCCGGTTTTCCGAGACAGGCTATAAAGATATTTAGGCGTTTAGTGTCCATCGGAGTTGATTTCATTTGGAATTGGCACCTAACAGATGGAGGTTTTTTGGAGGGGAGAGCTTGCCTGCAATTTACAGATTTATGTTTTTTCTTTTCGTGTAGAACCTTGTTCAGTAATTCCCAGGCTCCCCTACTCCCACTTTCTCCCTTTTTTTTTTTTTTTTTTTAAACAGCTGTTGGTTTTCCCTTCTCCAAGGAAAAAAGGACTGTGTTGCCTGCTTATTCTTCCTTTCTCTGGGGTAGCAGGACGAAAAAACTTACTGTATGTTTCGGTTGAGCCAGCTGGATTTTACATTTACACTGAACATTACTTTTGTTTTTAAATATATTTTGCAGCTGACACGCACACTTGTCAGCTTCAGAGGACTTGACCTCCTTGTAGACTCACCAGAGTTTCCTACTGTTAGGGACTGTTGTGAAATACATGTTTCCCTTTTTTTAAACCTTTTTGCTTGTTTATCTATTATGTCTTTCTCAACCCCCAAGTAAAGATTATACCTTGACTTTTTGCAATTTCCCCCCCTTTATTTGATTGAAATAATTTATATGACATAAAGGATGAAAATTTCTCCTATCGTTTTAGTGGTGGAAGGGTTTAGGTCTTGTCAGCATTATGTTGGTTTTGCCAAACTTAAGAAGGAGTTACCTTTAACTAGGAGTAGTGTCAAAGTATATTAAGAGTGGATGTTTTGGTTTAATGACTTTGGCATTCTGTCCACCTTTTATTGTAATTGTTTACTGCAGTTATCTTCTAGAGTGGCTGGCAAACACAGCAAAACCCTCCATTTCAGTTATTGAGTCTCTGTATGCAGCTTCTTGCACTGTGGAGAGTTCCTGTTGTGCAGCTGCCTGGATCATTGCACTGTTTGCAGCTTAAGTCTCTTTCCTGTGTCCCAGGAGCTGCCTCAGAGGTCACTTCCTAGTGTTAGAGAATAGTTCCAGTGATCTCTGCCCCCTTTCTCTTTGTTATTTTTTGTATTTTGGCCAGCTGAAAAGCAGCTCTGAACATTGTCCTGCATGGTGTGGATGTGGAGGCTGCAGCAGACTGTCTGCCGGGGTATTTCCCCGGCAGTTCTTAGGAAGGAGCAGTGTCAAGCAGTGAAACTGCACTGTAAACATTGATGTAAGCCTGACCTTTCTCCTGCAAAACTGAGCTTCCCCTTGGCCTAAGAAACTGTAGCTCCTTCAGCATTCACAGCCCCAACAAAATTGTTCTCTGAGCCATCCTCATCTTTAAGCACAGTTGTGTGAGCTGTGAGCAGCACCTTCTGTGTTTGCCGAGAATGTGGTGGAAGTTCGTCCCTTATTCAACAACTGTGAGTTGTTTTCATTCTACACCCCCAGTGCTTCATTCCTGGTGATGGGCTTTGCTCTCCCTTTGTGTTCCAGGTGGAAGCAGCAGGAATGCTAACACTGGCAAGCAAGCTGAAGCGGGATGATGGTGTCAGAGGACCCCGTGCGTCCAACCCAGCGTCGGATTCTACTCGGAGGGTGTCTGTGCGCGATAAATTACTTGTTAAAGGTGAAAGGGACTTGTATTTAAATATTTTGGGGGTTGTAGATGTGTTGCCAGTAAACAACAGTAAATTGCACATGAATATCAAACGGTATTTTTGAAATGGCTCGTGACTTATCTCAGGATTACTGCTGTAGGGTGTACACTGACAGACATCTCATCTGCAGCTGCTCTTTACCTGTAGGACACTTATTTTCATTGAATGGTAAAAACCAAAACAAGTGTCCTCTTTACTCTGCTGAAAAATTAGCCCATCATCAGGACCTCTGCCATCAACTAAAACCTGATAAAAATTGCCACATGAATGTAGGAGGAGAATATCAACAGTAGTATATTTGTCTTGCTAGGAAGGTGTTTTTTGAGCGAAAACAGGATGACAGGAAAAATCACCCTAAGGATTACAACACTGTTCCAGTGGTCTTTAATGGTACAGGTCAGAGGCAGAAAAGTTTAAAAAGCTTAAAAAAAGCAATGCAAGGTGATATTTTTGTGGGCCTGGAGTCTCTAGAAGCTGAGTATGAAGCTGGGAGTTAAAAAAAACAGTGCTCATTTTTGTATTGCAATAGGGTGCGTTCTAGGAAGGCTGCTGTAGGTTTTTACTAGTGGGGGAAAAAAGCCCCTGACTTTTACTTTGTGGCAGTTCTGGATAAATGGGGTAGTTTGTGAGACAGTAATTAAACTGTTTTGTAGTGAAATCAGGGTCAGCTCTTTTTTTTGTAGCGTAGATAATATTATAATTAAAAAATCTGTAGGTGCTGACACTTTGCAGCTACTGTGGACTTAGATTTACTCCCTCTGGTAATAGTTGAGTGTTTTAATACTCCAGCTCTGTAGTGCTCTAGTGGCAAGGCATATGTTCCTTAGGTGGATGTGTCTGCTGAAAATGATCAATAGCAAATATGCTGCTGTTGATGTGTAAGCTGCCACTATTAGGGCTCATGCCAGCCAGAGGAAACTCTAATTTCCTGGTCTTGTTTCAGAATGATTTGAGACTGACGAGGGTGTATTTGCCTGACTGATATTACCTAACTAGCATTGCATATGGGTTTTTTTCAAAATAGGGTAAATTCTGTCATATAACTGCACTGGAGCAAAGTGTCACTGCAAATGCTGCTGCCTCAGTGCCCTGGGAAGTGCCTCAGCTGGACTGTAGGAGTGTTATACTCACAGTTTTCTCTTTGTACAATTCTAAGGACAGGGAAGTTTAATAACCCTGATGTGATCATTCTTGAAAAGAACTTGCTTTAGACTTCCAGTTTGGAAATCCTTAGTTAGCTCCAGTTCTGAGGGAGGAAGATTCAGGCAGGAGAAATAAGCTCTTTAAACCAGGCTAAGCTACAAAGCCAAATGACTAAATATATATAATCTGAGATTTTTGCTAAACCTCCAGGTGTAGACTTGAGGGGAAGAGAGCAGTGCAATATAAATGCACTTCAACTGCAATGCTTGGTATAGTGTGAGGTGCCATAAGACTCTACCCTTAGAGCGGTCATGTTTTTCATTTTTAGGGCTAAAACCTTACCAAAGTCTGCCGGGGGGAAGAGAACATGAGCTATAGAAAATTAGTATTGACACTGTAATTGCTGTGGCTGCATTAGCAAACCAGCACAGACTTGAGTATTGAATGAGCTGAGTCCCAAACTGTCAAATGGTAAAAGCAGGTCACTGCTCATGTGCCTTTGACAAGTGCTGGATCCTCATCTGATTGTGCATGGAAGTTGTATCCCTGCTGTGGAATGAGTGGCTTATGCCACTTAGAGTCACTGTCAAAGGTACAGTGAAAATGTGCTTAAATGTAAATTTGCAAAAGCACAAAGAAGTTTGGGAAGGTTTCTGCTGCTTCTTACTGCATGGAGAATACATGTAAAGGGAAATCAAGTTAGATTCAGTTAAGAATGATTTCTACAGAGGCTGCAGTGGAAAGAGTGAAGGTGGCAAGGAGACCCTTAATTAAGTCATGAGGTTCAGAGTGAACCCTCTTTGATTCTGAACTCCTTTTCGGGGATGAGTCTCAGTGTGTCTGGATCCAGTGTTAGGATTGGACTCAGTCAACAGTTTATGTCTAAAGAATTTAGCATCACTTAATCATAAAAGCACTTAAATGTTGGACTAATCACTAACCATCTGTAAACATAACACTATTGTAGATTCAAGATAACATGTATACTACGTTATGGGGTGTTCAAGTCAATACACACAGATACACAAAGGTATAGAGAGAGACAAATGTGTAAAGGTAACACATACACATGGATATGTGTGCCTACAAGTGTATACCTATTGAAAAATCCCCCTCCAGAATCATGTTTAATGCCTTTTTGGAAACTACTGGAATTGTCTGTCCTTCGAGTGAGGATGGTACCATTTCACTTGGATTATAATTCAGATAAGGAATGTTCCAAAGCTGTCAGGGGATAACTGATTATTCCTCCTCTCATCTCCCGCCTTATCGAGGCAGCAGGAGTTCCTGGTATGGTCAGTGCTGCTCCCACCTTGGCCTGGCAAGAGTTCCTGGAAGAGTTAAGGAATGCTTCACCACCGAGCTCTTGTGCAAGGGCCAAAACCCGTTAAGAGTTACTGAAATTGTAGAGCAGGCCAGAGATGGGGGGGCAGGAGGGGATGCTCTCCCAATCCTGATGCTCTCTCAGAAGAATTGTAGGAGCAGCTGTGTTAGGGTGGTTTCTGGACTCAAATGGGAACTGACAGTAGAAGCAGATCATCTTAGTACAACTCCACTGAAAGTGAGAGAGAAATTCAGTAGCCAGTGTGAAAGACTTGTTGGGGATATTTCTTTTAAGCTATTTTTTAAGCTAAATGTAGACCATCTGTCTACAAAAGTTTCTAGAATTTTCTCCAGCACTTTAAGATAGACCAACTGCAGCAGCATCTAGGATGTTGAGAGCCTGAGTGAAGGTGAACTTGTGATATTGACAGTGTTTTTAGGCCATGTAAAGATCTGCAGGAATGAGTTTGGTAGGGAGTGCAGGGCTGCCTGCTCAAGGTATGCATAAACCAGTGATGCTCTGAATCTAGACCAGCACCAGGATCTTTTATTGCCTGATTATCTGGAACTGTAGTAGCCCAGCTGAACTTCAGGCTGCTGTATTGCATTACAAAGTTATAGGAGGCTGGAAGAGTAGCTGTAAGTATAGATTGTTAATGGTGAGTGTTTGGGCTGGAGTTAAGAAACAAACAGATGGCAGTTGCAGAGTGGGTGAAAGTCTAAATCAGTCTCCTGGCAGTGGTGAATTAAAAAATAATCTGTTCTACATAAAAGAAGAGAAATCCTGGCCATCAGCAAGGGAAGAGGAGGAGATGAGAAGAGGCCCAGAGCGTTCTGTCAGCAGTGAAGCACCACTGTCCTATTTCTGATCCACAGTAAATTGGTGATAGTCTAATAAATTCTGCAGACAGATGTCTGCCAGCTTTGCTTGGGATATTATCCGGACACAGACAGTGTCTGGTTTTTCTCTGGAGGTAAGTTTAAGAGAGCCTTGTTTGTGTTGATAGAGCCCAGTCCAGGAAGGCAGTCTGGGATCTCTTTGGAGGATGTGCTGTCACAGTGACAACCTTGCAGTGCTCAAATGTGTTGTGTACATGGACTGGTAAATAGATCAATGCCATTTGGATTAAGGGTAGATGGGCATGACCCATACACAGCTAAGTGTTGATGATGCTTTCAAACCTTCAAAAAACTGACACAGACCAACTCCATGCTGCCCAAAGGAGGAAGAATAAGTGATAATTTAGGTGTGATGTTGGCTGTTTGTCCTATATGGATGTGAAGAAAAATCTCAGCATCAGAAATAGTGTTGCCCAGTGCTGTCCTTGGCTTTAGTGATGGGGTCAAGTTAAACAGGCTTTTCTACACTTCTGTGAAAAAGCTACTCTTAAAATACTGATACCCTTTGTTAGTTTTTCTAAGCCATTCCTTTGATTGTTTACATGCCCACTGTTGTTTTATATTCAGGGCATTTGCTTTGTTGGGTTATTTCATGGACATATGAATGGAAATATCTCTATCCATAAAGTTTTGTTTAGGGAAGTAATTCTGAGGCAGTTGATTATTCTCTTCCAGCTGTTTTTCCTCTAGAGTGTTAAAGTCATGGCTGCTAAAGAGGATTTGGCAGCAGCCTATCCCCTGCTGATTATCTCAGACACTAACAGAACACGTTTGGGAGTAGAGCAGGGCACATATGCCTGGGGTGTGGGGTGTGCTGCTGGTTCTGATCTGAAACCCTGGGAAGGCACAGGAAAACATCCACCAGTTGGGAATCACTGAGGGCACAGGTTTCTGAGGGTGTGGGAGGGCAAGGATTAGTAATTCAGGCTTCCAGGTCGTGGAGAGAGGCTTTGTGGCCCAGGACAGAGGGGTCTGGGGAGAGACCAAGCAGTGATTAACATGTTTCAAGACAAATCAAGTGGAAGACATGAAAACAACTGCAGAAGACAGAAAGCAAATGCTGTCGAGAGGAAGAGGAGCAGACAGAAATGGTGCTTGAAGGGGCTCTGCTGCCTCTCTCACCTGGGAGGGAGGATTTAATAAAGCACACCTTTGTTAAAAGCTCAGTGTGACTTATCTGTACATTTGTTTTCACTGGGCTTTCCATATAGGCTCAGTTGGAGAGTAAGGCCCTAATTCTACGGACCTAGGGCCCAAGTTAAAATAGAGCAAGCAGTACACTTGCTTCAGCACCTTTCATTTTGTTCTATGCTACAGAGACAACTTCTGATGTTCTGTTCATCTCTTAACTTCGTTAAGTTGGGAACAGGGGCTGGGAATTTGAAAGGGACTGAGGACAGCCAAAGTGATATTTAAAAGTAATATTGTATAATGAAGGTGACTACTACATTGAATTCAAGATAGAGAGCGTGCCAGGATGGCAGTGGTAGCAGTGCTCGTGTGCTTATGGATCACAAAGGTTGTCCCTTAAGCTATGGTTTTTGTAGTGCACCTAAACATCATCATTCAGTTTTAAATGATCAGTACTGGTTTGATTGTGACAGTGGAAATAACTTAGTATATAAGAAAGTGAGTTAATGTGTTTTACTCCTCAGTTGTCTTCAACATCTGTGGCTTTTCCAGCAGATTTATGTAATCAGAAAATACTTCAGGTGTGCCTTTGTATAAGCTTGAGAGAATGGAAGTGGGAAGATGATCATGAAAGTGAATTTCGTGTGCATTGAAACTAAAAGTGAGGAGAACCCAATGTATTTGCTTTCTTCAAGCTATGAGAATTGAAGCTAATTTGAGAAGTTATTACTGAGACATTTTTCCATTTGCTGACAAAGGGAGGTGCAAGGCATTGCTTTACTTGTGTCTCAGATTTTCAGCACACCGGAAATATGAAGTGATACATTGCAGACTTGGAGATTTCCAACCCCAATGGCTTTTGCTCATTTTTGATGTCAGGATCATAAGCTTTGGAGTAGTGTATAGAAGCTGAAGGTATGATTTGATAGCATCTTGTTTAAAATAAACATTTGGAAGCAGAAGGAGAATATACATCTTTTGGTCTGTTGAAAAACTGGTGATATCAGTTGGCTGGTTTGACTTCTAATACTGATCTGTGCAGTTCAGAGGAGCTAAGTGGGGAAGGCTATAGAGATGAGAATTAGGAGGCATAGGCCCATACACAGGGCAGGATTGTGCTCCTATTTCTGTCTTGAGAACTGTCAGGGGTAGGGAGAGTTATTGTTTGTGAAATCATTTATAAATAGCTCTGGTCGCTTGTGTTAGGCTTAGCTTTTCTCTGTCCTGTGAAGTTCCTAGGCTGCTTCTGACGCATAGTCAGTTTGCATTCAACTCTTCCGAAGTTTGTGGTAGGTTTAACTTTAAGCCTTGCCTTTTTGTCCTTTTTAGGGTTTAAAATAGCATTTGGAACTGTTCAAGCAAGGGCATACTGGGGCAAAAGCAGGACTCTGTAAGGATATGTGCCACTCAGGTGTGCTTCTGCACCAGATCACAGGAGGTTTTGAGAACACCAGGCTGGCTGGCTGGGAGCTAATGGTATTCCCTGAGACTTAGATTTGCTGGTTGGTTGTCTCATCATCTTAATGATGTGAATTGAGACACAGATGCTGATTCTCCACAAAATGACTATGAAATGTAGTCAAGTTGTATTTTCTTTTCCATTTAGCTGTAGTGACAGTCATTTTCTGAAAGAGGAGGTCAGAAAAATTGAGATCTAAAGTTTGTTCCTTAATTTAGTGAGGCTTTTTGAGCTCTTGGAAGTTGAGTGCATTGGAGCTCTAATTGTCACTTCCATGCTTTGCTTAGTTACAGATCTGTTAAATAAGTTGGCAGCCTGCACAAGGGGAATTTCTTAGAGAGAATGCTCTTGCCAGGGTTGTTGCTTTATGTAGAAAATACATAACTTAAAACATTAGAATCCTAATGGGGCTTGAATGATGTGGTCAAAATATTTGCTTTTTGAGCAGCAACATACAAAAATGTCGTGACTGTCACTATCAAAGAATCATAGAATTTGGAAAACTCACAAACACTGTAGCTTTGACCCGTTAAATGTGCATCTTAATTGGTTAATCACCAATGTTTATGTATGTTTATATGGCACAGTTAACAGTAACATCTGTTGCCTTACTTGATTACTACTTTAAACATTGAGGTTATTGAAGCAGGTCTTTACCTGCTTTTCTATCTTTATATAAAGTTGTTTCATTCTTAGTTTGTGGTTTGTTGCAGAGTTGGTTAAAAACCCTAATTTTGGAGGACTTGCTTCTGTGTGGATTAATTAGCAGGGCATTCCCACCTGTTTACACACCTTCAAAGAAAGAGGGAGCTATTCCCTTCTCCTGGGTGTGAGCGTTTTGTTTTCATGTTTCCAGAAGAAAACCCCACTCATTCTTGGACCAGGACCTAGGGAAACACAGAAGTGTGAACACATTATAGGAAACTTTCACACTTCAAAGGACTTCTGGTGACAGTGAACTCTCTGAACCTTGCCGGAGGCAGAAGTGAGGCCCTGGCTCAGCAGAGCTACTGCAGCTCAGCCTCTGCTGGGACTCAGTGTGCTCCATCCTTGGGTGTCTCCCTTCTCTCGGGATCGAAGCAAAGGGCAGGCAGGATTCATTAAGCTGAACAACACACAAGCAGAGAAAGCAATAAGGAAAGCAGTCAGCACCTTAAAATAAGAGCCAGGTCCTAACCTTCAGCCTGTAGTGAAAATTGATAGTGCCTCCCACTATGACAGGCTGGTGAATTGAAAGAGAAAGAAAGGTTTGTATGACTGCAGCCTTCAGTGGTTGGTTGTCATGTCTTTTTTTATTAACCAGGAAGGGAAAGTAAAGATAAAGCTCTTGATTATAGCTGGAATTAGATTTTTTTTTTTTTTTCATATTTTGAAGACAGTGCTCTTTCAAAACTTTTAGCAAAAGTATGGCCCCAGCATTGTGTGTCTTTCACTGCACAGCTTTGTTAAATGAGCTCTGGCTGCTCCAGTGTGGGATTTTAAAGAGTGCAGTTGTGAACTTTTTAGGTAAGTGTGAAACACAGTGCTTGTCTTTTGGTGGCTTTTTTCCCTCAGTGTTGTAAGCTGCAGCTGGAGGGACACCAGGGCTGGGCTAGGCAAAAGGGGGGTGGAAGTCAAATTAAGTGTCATACCCACTGCAGAGACCAGCCAGGTTGAGTAAGCATGGAAGCAGGAAATGTTCTGGAGAGTTATTGTGATGACCGGTTTGGATTCCGTGCCAAGAAATTGGAATTACAGTTTTCTTTACGTGTGTGTTTTTGAGAGTTGATACTGAAATCCCTTACATGTTATTAGCCCAAATAAATGGTCTGTCTCTGTGCAGGCCTGAAAGCAAAGTCAGAAGTGGAATAAAAAGACCACAGGAAGTGCAAAAAATGGATTTGATGAGATTTTCTAGAACTTTGGAAGTGAAGGTGGGAGGTATCTTCCTGCATCTTATTCATGCTTCTGTGAAATACAGGTCATTGAGAGTAAGACTTCAATAAAATACACAAAAGGGGGTGAAAGCAGGGACTCTTCCAGAGAAGGTAACCTGTCAGGGAGAGGTCTGAGGGGCTACACAACTGAATCAGGTTGCTTCCCTTCTTTTAATGATTACTTTTAGGCTTTATGCTTGGAAAATAAATTAAAAAGGAATTTTAGTTGAGCAGGGGTGCATATGTATAGCAGACTGTGCTTTGGAAATGCCAGTGCTCAGTGTGTGAGCAACCCTGGCAGAGCTGAAGTCCCCATCACAGTGGGGTGCATTTGCAGTGTCTATGGGGCAGGTTTTTTAGTAACAAATTGAGTGGCTTAAAGAGAAATTTCAAGGTAAACTTCCACTGCAGCTTAATTATATTTTTAAGTAAAATTGGATTTACAGGACGGTTTAAATTAGATCTGCCAATTTGGACTTCAAGAATTTGCTTTGTGCTTGCATAAATAATGTTTTGTTGTTTTTGTTTTTTTTTTTCTTTCAACAGAGGTTGCAGAGCTTGAAGCTAATTTACCTTGTAAGTATAGCATTTAATGATATGCATTTTAAGGGGAAAAGGACCATTGAACTGAATGTTTTTACTGAAGTATGAATGCTAATGATATTTGTTAATTTTAGGGAAACCTGTGCAAAACTCCACCACCTGAGCTTGAACAGGTTTTCTTTGCTCCCTCTTAAGGGGTTGTATAAAGGTGGACTCTCATTATTGTCCTTTGGAAGGAGAATTGGTAATTTGCCTCTAGAATTTAATTGTCAGGAAGTGGAAGCTTAACTTTCATAAAACATGCAAAAGGTTTGTGGGACTGAAGGGTGCATTTGTTGCCTCATGCCTGTCTTTCCTCCATTCGCTCCTTTTCAAAACAGGAGATTCTGATTCTGGGGCAAAGAAAAACAACTCAGTTCTCGGGGAAACAAGTTAACCTGCTGTTTCTCTGCATCACATGCAAGATGTAACCTGATGTGTGTGTTAATAGCGAAAATACTAAAGAAAATTAGTTTTTCAAAAGTGACCCGTATTTCTTAAAACAAAAAAGGCCCTGGAGTCTTACTTGTGGTATAAGCAGTAAACAACTGAAAATGTTAATGACCACTTTAAAATAGGCTTTAAGAACATGGGTAAGTGGCTTGTGGAGGAAAAATGCAGAACAGAAGCAGGAAAAAGGGAGGGCAGGAAGAGGCATTGTTTTAACTCTTCCTTTCTCTAATACTCTTCTTTCTTAAAGGCGACTATGGAGAACTTACACAGTAATTTTAGTTTTGGGTAAACTTTTTTCTGTAGGTTCTTCTGTAGGATAACAAGCACGTGAGAAATGTGTATTTTTAGTTATTACAATACGAGTGCATTACTAGAGTTTGTGTACAGTTCTGGTTGTTTTTTTTCAGGCAGATAGGGTTTATGTCTCTATCAATGTGTAGATCCTTGGCTACAGAAAAAGAACAACCAGCTTGATGGGTTAAGAAGCTAAGGACTACATAGTGTGGATTGCAACATATCCCTGGATATATACATCCTCTCCTGTCAGCTTGACAGCTTGTCTCTGCCACAGTCATGAAAGGCCACTTTTGTGCATGGGAAAGCAACTTGGTTTGTGTCATCAAATGCAAACAAAGGGCTGTTATGCTGTGAACTTAAACTATTTTTTCCCCACAGTTGTTCTTCATTCTCATTATTCTCCTTAAATTCATCTCTTCTGAGAATAAGCCCATCGTGTCTTGTTTATGCTGCTCCATAACCTTTGCTGTTAAAGCACATGGTTGGTTATGCAGCAGAAACTTGTGCAATTTGGCAGATGAACTGGCTTTTGGATGAGGCTTTCAGGAGAGCTTGTATCTCATTGTGTTAATAATCCCCTGTCACCATGTCTCCCCTGGTGACTTCTTGTGGGTCACAGTGTGTGGTCAAATGTTAATACACAGATTATTAGTATTATTATTAACGTTACAGAAGCTCGTAAGGCAGATGCTGATTTGTGTGCTGTCACCTTCATGTGTAGCTACTATGCAGGAGAGCAAATCTTTTGGATTTTTAAGGCCTTTGGGAAAGCATGGTTTGCTGAAAGAAGTGGAAGTTCCAGGTGACCCATAGCTGTATAGGGTGGAGATGCTCAAAGTGTAGCAGGAAATCACTTGACTGAAAGGTGGGGATTAATAAGGGAGTCAATTTGAAGAGTGTAAAGGATGATATACTTGCTGTCCCACTAGAGGAGAACTAATTGTCTGATGCAAATTATCCTTTTACTTCACAGGTACATGTAAAGTGAATTTTCCTGACCCAAACAAGCTTCATTACTTTCAGCTAACTGTAACCCCAGGTAATTTTTTTAAAGCTATTATTTTTCTTTCTGTGTGTTGGTACTTAGGAAACTAATTCCAGGAGTTTGCTTAGGGCTCCCGTGAAGTTTCTATTCAAAGAAAAATCGGCTGTAATACAGTGATTATTTTGTTAGTGGGATGGAGAAACTGGGCTGGATTTTGACAATCAGACTCCAATAAAAAAGCCATTAAAATTGAGCATGTTTAGGAAATATTCAAATCTTGTTTGCTTACTTTGATTGAAAGCTTTTTTTTTTTTTTTCTCTCAGCCAGTTTCAAACCATTTTGTTTTATTTGCTGAGAAAAATCTTGGTCTATGTCTGACAAAGTTATTATATTACAGCCCTGTTACGTGCACGTGTAGTATGTTCTACTAATTGCTTGATTCTGCAGAGGTGAATAGACAGGTGACACATCACTGGTGGAAATGTTCAAATCTGTGCACGAGTGAAGATGCTTAATGAATAGGAGTCTTAGTCTTTGAATGTTCAAGTATGTGAAAGTTAGATCTTTCACTATTTATACAAGTGTACTGTGAAGCTCTTGCTGGTGTGCTGGTCAATAGAAACATTTTCAGACTTTATAATTTCCACCTAAGTTTCTTAATAGCCACCTGAAATTACAGAGTTTGCTCACATAGCTGTCCATTTTAGAATGAAAAGTTGTGTTTTATGGATGAATTTGCATTTGGAATGATTATTTAAATTTCACGTGCCCTTCTTGGTTATGTTTGAGACTGTGCAACTGCTTAACTGAGGACATTGCCGTGTGCAGTACACTGAGCTGTTTGAGTTAGATGTGCTGGGATCAGTGTCTCCCTGCCAGCTGATCCTCTAGATGCACATTTTCTGTAGATGCTTATTGACAACAGCATTTGGGTGAACTGTCAGTCATGCTGATGTATTACCCGGAGAATTAGTGGTTTGCACTCAACAGTGTGGTAGGAGTGTCTCTGCCAGTTCTGGATTTTGAAGTCAGGGAGGCACTAGATGTCACTGTTGCTGCTTATTAGCCATAATCAACTGGCTCTTCCTGGAACTAGAAATCTTGGGTGGTCTTTGTTAACATGTCCATTCATGTAACTCCTTTTTGTGATGGAAAAGTGAATGTAATTAAAAATAAATGCAAGTGCTATTCTAGAACTTTTAACCTCTGAAGATGTGCTCATGTTTACTCAGTGGGTGTTACACTGCTTGCACCAAATGTCCTTCAGTTTATATGATGCTGCTTTATTATGTTTTGGAAATGAGTTGACTTTACAAGAGCATCATTGTGTGAGTTAGGGATGTCTTGAATGTGAAGAAGTGATAGCTTTTTCATACTAATTCCAAAATGTCTAAATGACAGTCCTTTCTTTTGTCTATTCGCTGCTGTGCAGCAAGGTGCTGCAGGCAGAGTGTGGTTTTTGTACTGGCTTCATTGCTGAAATGATCTTGAAAATGAGATGATCTTAATTAACATTTTGTTACTCTAAATATAGCTGCACAACTGAAGTCTCTGCAGTTGCAGTCTGACCCAAGTAAACATCAATTTTCAGCTGTGCATAATTTAGGTATAGAATCTTGTGAACAGCTGCAGCTCAGCACTGCTCTCTAAAGCAAACATAACACAGACCAAGAAAATCTTCGTAGTTTTCTAATTCCCTTGAAGACTGAGTTTTTCTTTACGGTGTGCTAAATATTAGTTTCCTCTGGGATAGCAAAGAAGCAGCTAAGTGGTTGTCACAGAATTTTTATGGCTCAAGTGGGCTTGAGCCAACTGTTCTTGTAGTGTCTAAACATTATTGCATGAAACTTGACAACCTGGAGGAAGAACCAGTTTTCCTCCTCCTGCCTAGAACTGTCTCTTGCATTTGGAGCTGAGTTACGTGTAGAAATCCTGCTCTTGCATTTGGCTTTGCAAGTCTCCCTGCAGCTTTTTTTTGTGGAGCAAGGGCTGGGCTCAGCCAGGGAATATCCAGAACTGCCTTGCAGTTTGCTCTGTTAGGACTGATGTGGTGCATAAACAGGAGTGGGAGTCCGCACAACCAAGAGCTTCATGGACTCACTTCTTCAGGCTCTCAGTTTAAGTTCTCTTATATTCTAACATTAGAGCCTAAATTCTGCAGTGCACCATCAGGGAGTATACAGCAGTGCCTGTTAGAAAATGGATAAGACTTAGATTTTACTGCCGCAGTGGACAAAACTGTGTTCCCAAGGCAGACACTACTGGCTTTCTCTGCTGTCTGAAGCTTCTTTTTCCTTTTGTCATCTGAAACAACTGTTCTGTCGTTGAAAAATGCCCTTGTGCCACACTTGCCTCCGTTCTTATTTTTCACCAGTACCACATTGGATTAAAATCTAGGGAAAATAAGGAGATATATGCTTGTAACACAGGCAGAGTCCTGCCTGCTGCACTGATATTTGGAGCACAAAATTGGAAGCTGAGACTAAAACATGGTAATGACCTGGAAAAAAGTAAAGGAGGTGAGTTTAGGTGACTTACACACGAAGGACACTAGAAGAGTATGTGTAGTTAATGCAGTTTTCCTGCAGTTCCCGGGCAACTGAAGCAGTCTGGGGTTAGTGTAGTTATTTTCTGGAGGAATTAATAAAGAGCCTATTTTCTGGTTTGCATGCCATAGAAGGACAAATGGGTGTGAGCATGGCTGAGCATTTCAACGCTGCTGGTTCAAGGAGCAGCTATCCCAAGCACATTCTTTGTGGCCTGTCCTAATTATCTTGCATTTTCTTTTAATGTGATGAAATAATTTGGTTTAGCATTTTCCACAGCACTTTCAGGCATCAAAACACCTTACAAATGCAAACTAAGATTAGAGTCAGGTTTTTGGTAATGAAACTTGAGACTGAAGCGAGTGGGATGCTTGCTCAGCTAATACAGCTTGAAGACATAAATGTAAGCAGTAGGAGGAAGAGTGGAGCTCAGATATATTCCCTTTTAACAAAAAACTCTGTGGCTAACTTCCTAAGTTATGTGCTAAAGCTGTTGTATTTGATGGTTTTATTTATAGCATTTTCCTCATCGGTAACTCTGCCAGAACTTCAGTTTTTCCCACCATTTCTCTAGGCCTGAAGAAGTTGAGGGTCTTTGTCCCAACTTAGGAACTGATTTCCTTGCTTGAGATGCCATGAGATGACTTTATCACGAAGGCTTATCTTGTTAATGCAAGATTTCTGGCTGAGTCCTGAGGCCCTCCAAGATATGAATTTTTAATACGCATTTGACTGATCGGTAATGAGTAGCTTTATTGGTGCTTTAGTGAAAAGATTCACTAACATACAGGGAGAATTGTGAAAGGAGAGAGGAGAGGTACCTTACTCTCCTTCTCTGGTAGGGTAAATATGGGTAAATATGTCCTTATTTTACAACGAGACCAGTAGTGCACCCAGTGCATTTTTTGGTTAGTGCTAGCATGGATTGATGTCCAGATAAAATCAAAACATAAAATGATTTGTAAGGCAAGGCACTGATGAGTATTGAATTGTCTTTGAGGGAGACTTGATCTGAAAGGATGTGGAAGTGACCTGCAGTGTGAAGCAACACATGTAAGTGCGCCAGGTCTTCCAGAGATTTCTCAGCCTTTCAGAGAACTCAGAAAAACAAATACAAGAAAGCTGAATTAATCTCTTAGAACCTGTGGAGGTGTAAATATACTGTTTTGAAAGTGCTTGAGCTCACCTAAAACACATTTTTAAGGAAAAGGGGTGTTCTTTCACCACCTGGTCCTGCTGCTTCTGTTCTGCTGACATCAATTACATCCTGCACGCGGACACTGGGAGTTTCTCTTGTGGCTGGGTGGAATTGGAGCTATCCTGAGCTAGGTCTGCATGGTGGAAAAGGGCAGAGAAAATGAAAATCAACTGTTCAGCCTTTTTCCCCACCCCCTGTGTGTCTTGAGCAGTGTCAGGCTGATGTTGTCTGTGCTCGGAGCCGAGGACGGACCTTGCTGTTCCTGCACCCCGCAGTGGCTGTGGGCCTGGTGTTTCCAGTGTGCAGACCCATGTGGAGCGTGGCTTTGCTCTTGCTGCTTCACTGGCAGGAATCTGACAGTCTTTTAGCCAGCTCTCCTCCCTTAGAGCTATTCTTGGATGTTGCTTTTGGACAACTGTAACACTGAGGATTCATTAAGCCCAAGTACTTACTTTGACATAAGGCATATGTAGATACATCCTTCAACAGGCACCTGTTCCATTTTAGCAGGGGTGCAGTGTGAAGATCTGCTTTGCTCCAGGCCCACAAGATCAAGGAACTAGTGAAATTAAGCCAAGGAAAATAACTTTTGTACTTGGAAATAGTAAGAATTCCTGACAATTGGTTAAAATGCTATTACCGTGCTATTATAATATGCTAGATAGTGGATGAAGTGCAGTTAGCTGTGTTCTGTAGGATAAATTGTGGTGTTTGAGCTCCTAGGGGATATTGGACCATTTCCCCAATGATTTCCTTTCTGGAACAGTGTTTATCACATTTGATAGGAAGCAGTTTCATCAGAGAGGTATTAGTGTAACTCACCTTTCACTTCTCATTCTTCAGTAATGGCTTTCTTTACTGATTTTTATCTCAGTATATTTGAAAACAAAAGATACATGCTTTTGTCTTGCTTTTTTTCCCATAAGAATCAGTGCATGTCCATTTATTTTCTGGTAAAACATAATGTGCCTGAGGAGACTGATCAATAAATCCACCACACTTCAGAATTGAATTGGAGTGGAAATGGAGAATGGATTTGAAAAGTGTGTGTTCTGGACAGATTATTCCAGGGAGATTTGCAGAGGCTGAGGGCTGCAACTCTGCTGTGCAGCTCAGCGTGGAGGCAGCTGCCAGCAGTGCTGGGTAGGGTAGGGAAGCCAACCATCTCTTTTTTCCATACGCTGAACCTTTCCCAGAGGCTCCTGGGAGAAACTGGGCCATGATGGACTTCCCAGCTTCAGGCACAGTCTTTTGGAGGGGCGCACAGGGCACAGTGTGCAAACTGGGTGTGATCTCTGGCAGCAGCAGCTTTTACTGGCTCACCCCTCTCCGGCTGAGGGTTTGCCTTATTGAACAGGGTGATTCCTCTCCTGTTCTGTAGGTCAGCTGGTAAGAGATGGCAAAGAGCAGGAGGGTGGGAACTGACTGTTCTCCTGTGTTTATGGCACGCAGGCTGAAACCAGAGGATGGATTGTGGTGTGTGGGTTGGTAGGAGAAGACAGAAGATCTGTGTAGGAACAGGGGAGGCAGCAAGTCCAGGAGACATCATCCGGATAGAGGATTTTGACCTGCAGTAGAGAAGCTAGTTCTTTGTAGTTTGGAACAAGCTAGATAGATTAAAAAGAGTTTCCTTATTTTCTGGAAACTATGGATTGCTTCACAGAACATTCCTTTGCGGTGTTGGTTTAAAAAATATAATCCATACAATGCTAACCAGCTCTCCTGGCCTTCGGGCCTGCTCTATGGAGCAGTGTGATACAGAGAGCGAGAGCACTCAAGGTGATTTGAACCTGAGCATTCCTGACATGTCCCAAACCCCCAGAGCTGGGGGTGGGCTAGGTATCTGTTTCCCTTCTTTAATGAAAAGTAGTGGCAGTACCAGGCAGACATTTCAGATCACTTTGCAAACATTTCAGCTTTAAAGCACAACCATCTCAAGAGTTGCAGATGACTGTTATCCAATTATATTATTCCTGGTTCAGTGTAACTAGATATTTTAAGATGTCATATTATAAAAGGTAGCCATTTTAATAATTCAGTATTGAATCTGAGGTTGACAGAGAGGCAGACATACTTTCCTAGCTGGTGTATCATCCTAAGGTAATTACAATAAAAGAATCTACTTGCTCTTTTATTGTAGTGCACTGAAACATGCTCTTGGCACACATTATTCATACAACTCACAATACAAGATTGCTAGCATAAGCTTGGGAAGATGTGCAAAGTCCTGGAGCAGGATTTAGCATGCACTAGAAAGTGAAGTATTTCTCCGACTCATTCCAAGGGTTGGTAAGGTGGTGCTATGTGCCATGTGGCAGGATTTTCTTCATACAGACATGAGAAGCTCAATCTGAGGTTCCTCTAACTTGGTATCGCCTGTTACTCTGCTCAGGATGGTGGATTTTTATGGGACTGTTGACTCTGACTTCAGATTTCTGCTGTAAAAATGTTGGGAGTGGAGGAAAACACTGCTCAGATGCTGTTTGGATTAGGTGGCTGTAAGTGGTGTGGTGTAACTAGGTTAAGTGTTTGATGATAACCCTGTGCCATTATTTTAATCTTAGTAGTTTTTCCTTATTTAACTATTTTCCTTGTTTTTCCTTTACTAGATGAGGGCTATTACCAAGGTGGAAAGTTTCAGTTTGAAACTGAAGTTCCTGAGGCCTACAATATGGTGGTGAGTATTTGTCATTAGTCTAATGGTTATCATTTTAGTTTGTCTTTCCAGGTGATGGGACTTCAGAGGGAATTTGGCATTGAGACTGAGAAAGGATCTTGTGTCTGTTACTAAAGTAGCGTAGGTTTATAGAAAAATCTTCATTGCCTGGAGCTCATCTGAACTCCTGCTCAAAGCTGGGCTAGTGTTAAAAGTTGAGTTTGGTGGCTCAAGGCCTGGGCCAGTTGGCATTTCAGAATCTCTTAGGATGGAGATCTCACTGCTTCTCTGGGCCTCTGTTCCAGTGCTCAGTTACCTTTGTTGTGATTTTTATTTTTTTTCCTTTATCAGATCAGAATTTTCCTTTTTGGACCTTGTCTGTGGGCCTCTTGCTTTTATCAGTGTCCACCTCTTAGAAGAGCCTGACTCAGTGTCCTCTCTGCCCTCCCAGCAGGTAGTTGCAGACAGCAGTAGGGTCCCTTCAGTCCCAGGCTGAGCAAATCCCCATCCCTTGACTCCTTGCACTGTATGTGTTAATCCCTTCTGGGACCATGCAGTGAGGATGTGGAATGCACAGGTACAGTGACAAGTGGCACCTCCAACAGTTGTACTGGTTGTCTCCCAGGCTGTTCCGTATCTTTAAGAAAATAACAATTTCAATGGTAATTAAGCAAACAGCTTTTCAGGGGACCAGGAAATAATGGCGATATTTTCTTGTAGGTAAATGGAAAGCTCCAGACAACTTGGCCTTTTCAAGTCTGAGACTCGGTATTTCATGATTGTACTTTACTGAAATTGTAGAACCTTGCAAGGGAGGAGAGATGCAATTACAATAAAAATAACTTCAGACATTGTTTTCAGCGTTTAGCTGTCAAAAGAACAAGATTGCCCCCCAAAATGGAAAACAATTAAGGCTCACCTCCGATTCTCAGGAATTACAGCTGCTGTTATGTATGCTGATAGCTTGATACCTAAGGAAACTAGACTAATTTGAGCAGCTGAGTTGCAATATTTGCAAGTTAGATATATGAATTTCTGGAAGAAGGAAGTGTCATTTACTTTTAGTTTGAATGCTTTTGATAATTCTGTTATTTTCCCCCCCCTCTTTCTGCTTTGTTTCCTTACTTTTGGTGTTGATAGTTCAGACCCCTTTTTCTTTCAGAGAGGCTGAAGAATGTATAGGAGAGGATTCCAGGGACATGTTTCTGGGAAGACCTTTGGCTCATGTTCAGCTGCACCAGGCCTAAATTCAGCGTTATCTGTATGGAAGAGTTGCAGTCACAGCATTGTTTGTGTAAAAGGGGGAAGGAGGTGTGGTGGTCTGGAAGGTAACAGCTTGAATTCCCGGACTGAGCTTGGAGGACACTGAATTAGCACTGCTAGTAGAGTAGAGAGGTTATGTTTCTGAAAGCATAGTTGACATTGGGTTGACATTCCAGAAGATGCCTTCAAGTTCCTAATATTCCTTTATAATCTATGGATAAATGGGATATATACACTATAAAGTTAATGCTTGCAGAGGACTATAGCTTTTCTGAAACAGCTTTGAATTTTCCCTTTCATTATTTTGATAGTTTTTCTCTTCTTTTGTAGTAATATTGGTCAAGAATTATCTGCTCAAGCTGTTTTGTTTTCAAAGGGTTTAGGATCGTGTCTGTCTTCAGACTTGTCTTAGTACATGTAGGTGCTTCAGGTAGTGTTTGCAGTGGGATTGGTTTGGTTGTGGAGTGTTTTAAGTTCCCCTTACCCTCACCAAAGGCTTTCAGATGATGATACAGGCAACTCTTAGTAGCTTGTGTGTGGTTATCCTCACACAATAAACACAACGGTGGTCATTTAAGGTTCACTGCATTCTTGTTCTAACTTGAATAAATACTGTCATGGCCAAAATGGCTTTTTTATTAAGGGGGAAACCTTCTCAGGTTCTCTGCTCTCCTAATTTTTTAGTCATCTTCAACAGTAACAGTTTAACCCCTGTGGTAGTTTTGGGCACAGGGGAACACACACAATATATACCAGTTTTATTTTCTTAAATTACTGTATTTCAGTTGTTCATCTGAAAAACACTAGTGTGTATAATTGGAGAGCTGAATCTTAATTTTGATCTACCTGTTTTGATTCTCAAGTACTAGAATTAAAATGTCTCTGGTTTGTTATGGTTCCCTTCTCAGCACTGGCAGAAAAATCTACAGCAAATGTTAATTAAATATTTTTCAATTCCAACACCTCTCATCCAGTACAAAAGAATGCTTTGGGACTAGCTGGTGTTTCGAGAAAATATTCCAAATAATGTTGATTTCAAATTTCTCTTAGGAACCACACCCTTTCTCTGGGGAAAAGGCTGTGAATTGAAGAACTGCAGTTACAGGACAGATACCTCTAAGTACACGTGTCCTTTTTAGAGTGCCAAATTATCAGGATCTGAAACTGCTTATTAAGTTCATTCATTGATTAGCAGTTTATATTCAGTCTGTCATTTGGGGAGAGCAGTGGAAGGGACAGATTGTTTATAACCTTATTTTTTCATGAAATGAGACAAGCTTAAACTGAAGCTTGTTCTGCAAAACTTCCACCAAAGCTGAGGTTGGAATATGCAGAGTTCTCAAACACTTGCAAAGCTTGCTTGCACCTTCAGCACGTGTTCATGGATTTGGTGGAGTGGCCTGAGGATGGAGGGAGGGGAAAGGCAAACAGTTTCCAGTGCCAAAACTAAAGTGGGATCCCAAAATATTGGGCTGCTCGGAAATGGAGGAGGAAACGGATGCAGTCACTGCTGTGCCCCCCACTTGAGATTGGATCTACCTGTGCAGCTTTTGGTGTCTGAGGTGAAGGAAGATTTTGAGCAGTGAAATAAATGGATTTTGTGAGCTTTGTTGTACGAAGTGTCACACGTACGACCTGGAGGTGGTTGGAGGTGTTCAAGTGAAACATCACCTTGAGGGAATCTTGTGTGGATTTGTTGGGCTAAGGAGAAGTCAAAGTTGACTTGGAACAAGCTCAAAGAAGTTTTGTTTGAAGATGCATTTTATGACAGTGCTCCAGATTGTCCTATCTGGAGATAGGGGAAAGGGAGAAGGAAGAGGGAAAACCTTTGTCTTACTGTCCGAAGTGGGTTTTTCTAATTTTCAACAATGAAAAACACTTCAAAAGGATAAAGAAATTCTTTTGTTTTCATGATACAAAAAATGAGACACTAGTTAATTCACTCTGACTGTGAGGGTTTGGGGATTTCATTTATTTTTTAAAAGAGTTTCTATAAAGCTTTTTTCCTACTCATCAATACATTCCCTGTTTGAAGGTACATATGGTAGAAATTTACTCTTTCATCTTGATCTACTGGCATGGAATAAATACTTCTGCTTTCTTTGCTTGAGAACTAGACATAATCTTTCAAAACAACATGAAGGTGTAACTAATGAAAAGCTGTGCTGTTAGAAAACTTCTAAAACCAGCATATGTTTTGAAGGGAAAGAGTTTGAGACTGTTTTCAGTCAAAATCTGTGTGATGGTTTGGACTTGGCTCCCTGCCAAATGCCCGAAAGTCACGACAGCAGCCCCCTTCCTCCCTCCCTTCTCCTCTTAGGGCAAAGAAGAAAAAAAAACTATAAAAAATTAAAGAACCCAAAGTCAAGTTGTTTATATAAAATATATATATATTTACGTAAATTAAAGTTATATACAGTTAAGATGCTATATACACAGTAGAAGGGGATTCACTCCCCGAAGGGATAAGGAAAGGGGAAAAAAAGGGACACCGAACAGGTATACTTGATCAAACTCAAGAACTATACTAGTAATTAACAAAACAGATCTCACCACTTCCCTTAGAAAAGCAGGATTGGCAGACACAGCCAGCACTCTCCGAACCCCCCACGTGGCAGGCCAGCGGTCGCTGCAGGCCTCAGCTTTAGATAAGCGAGACCAACGCAAGGACCTACAGTTCCCGACCCTCGCTGGAAGAGAAGAGAGAGAGGTCTCTAATCTCCAACTTATTTATACTCTGGTTTACGTAAAAATCGTATGGAATACTGGGTACTTGGCCACTTCCTTGGTTACAAACTGGTTACCAGGAAGGCCTAGATCAAAACCATCACAATCTGTTACAACTTGCAGATGTGTTGTAGTGATGGGTGTTTCTTCTTTTAGAGGATATTTTTTGGGTGCCTTTTTAATGTCTCAGTGCCACGTGTATTTTCTTACCCCTTTTCCAAGGAGTCTTAATTAAAAAAATATTTAATGAAAAAGATAATTGGGAAATTGAGAACAAGATGATGACACAAACCACGTCATGCTGCAAATACAACTGTGACTGTTTTGTCTTCTTGACTGAAGACTTCATGGGAAACAGTAGAGGAAAATAGCTCCACATCTATAATATGTGATTTAATTGAAGTTATGCAAGGTGCTGCTCTGTGCTGATGTACTCCAGTGCACTTCCTATAAGGAATAATCTGCCTGATGGAAAGCTGCAAATCCTAATGGGGAGAGCATGGATGGAACAACGTGCTGTTGCTAAGCTACTGAAATTTTTATGACCTGCTGTTTATTTACTTCACAAAACTAGAGCAAATGAGACTGGATTTTAAGAATCTGTGTTTCAAAACCCACCATGACATTCAGAAATTCGGTGAGCTTGCCTGAAAATAAGTTGGGTGGCTTTTTCTATTAGTGTCTTAAATTTGGATATGACCAATTGTGAACAGGAAGGTCTGTGCTGAAGAGAAGTTGTTCTTTTGATGTAGTTATCATCATTGCATTCTCTGCTGGTTTTTTAACAAACCCCTGACCTGGATAAGCCTTCCAGGAAAACACTCTGTAGTTTCTTGGTTTAAATTGTTGTCTTACTAATTAAGTGTTAAGAAACTGACTGACTTAGAATCTGACACAGTTATGAGAAGAGAGTAAATTTTCTTGACTTTCTTTAAAGTTACATTTTTCTGAGGAAAAACCTGATACAAAAGCCCAGCTTTTGTAAAGAGTTGAGAGAAGCTGAAAGGGCAGAGAAATCTGGTTTGACTCCTGTAGGTTATGTATCAGTGCCTTTAACACCCAGACCTCTGCTGTGAGTATCAAACATATTTGCTTTTCTCAGTTCTGTGAGTTGTAGCAGTGATATGGTTTTATTTGAAGGGATAACACGGTAATTTGTTTTCTCTCCTGGCAGCCTCCAAAGGTAAAGTGTTTGACAAGAATCTGGCATCCCAACATTACAGAGACGGGAGAAATCTGCCTAAGGTAGCAACAGCATTCTGGTTTGAGTTTTTTTAAACCTTGGAGGTTTATCTGCTTGATAAAATATTGTATGGAATTGTCATGATGGCATTTTTTTCCACAGGTTCTGCAAATCAGTGGCATGTGTAGAAATATAGGAATCCACTGAAGGGATCATTCTTGCTGTGCATTAGAGGCCTTGTAGAGCCAGGTTCAGACTTAATGCTTTGTTCTAACTTGGGGTAAAAGCGTAAACTCCAATCTAAGCAAAATTTTGGTGTGGGTTTTTTTTTTTTTTTTTTTTTTTTTTTCCCTTATAACTGAATATCCTCAGGCCCTGAGGGGACTTGAGGCTTTAGTGTTTAGTGCCTAAGTGTGTAAAGTGCTTGAAAACCCTTTATATTTCACAAAGGAAGGAAAAAGCGTTCCTTGAACTTTGACAGTAGCTCTTCTATATTTGTCATTTGATTATTTTAATATTTAATATCCACTAAGGTGACACATGTACCAGTTATAACAAAGCAGATTTGGGGTCAAGATAAGTCCGAAAACTTTACCAGAATGAGAGGCTGGGTGGTTTTACTTGATAGTAGATATTTCCTCACAAAAATCAGTTTCTGAAACTTGGATTTCAGTGTTTCATCACCAGTACCTGATGGTCTAAATGGCCAGGAACCAAACATAACCAGAAGTGAGAAGTGTAACTGTCACTTTTCAAGTTAGTGGCACATAAAAGAAAATGTAGATGAAGCAGATGCAATGACAATGTGAGATTGAAAGCTGTTCTGAAGATCCAGAATGGTTGTTGACATGTATAGCAAATTAGCACTTAAAAATAGAAAAGCTAATTTTTTCCTGTAGATTTAAAATCATGTTAGTGCTGTGTTTGAGGTCCTGGTGAAAGTGAATTTTTCACAGGGCAATCTCTCACACTTCATGAGCAGGTCCTTAAGAGAACTGAAATGCTTTGAGTCACATAGTGCAAGTAAGGGAACAAATAGGTGAGCTCTCTGGAACCAGAATTACTGGACACCAAACAATAGCTAAAGTTGAAGTTTCAGTACAAAATCTTCTGAGGTTAAATAAAGCATCACATCCACAGAATCCCACAATGGTTTGGGTTGGAAAGGACCTTAAAGCCCCTCTCATTCCACCCCCTGCCACGGGCAGGGACACCTTTCACTCTCGCACGTTGCTCCAAACCCGGTCCAACCTGGCCCTGGACACTTCCAGGAATGGGGCAGCCAAAGGTTCTCTGAACACATTCTTGAGGATATTACACTTTTTCCTGCTTTTAAATGGTTCTAATTATGAGAGACTAATGTAGTGTTGGAACACCACAGTTCAAATGAAGTGAAACAATTTTTTCAGCATCCGCACTGAAACATCAGCTTTATTTGATTGTCAGATACCTTAACATATCAAACCTGTGAGATATCTTACCATTTAGATGGAAAAACTAAAATAACTTAGATTGCTTTATGCCTGTTATAATGGAGGATGCACTCTATATATAGTACCTGCAATCAACTTACACAAGAGACTTTAAATTAAAATAGCTTCAGTTATTTTTAAAAGCAGGAAAAAAAAATCTTCTTCAGTGTTTTTCTCAACTGCCTTTTGCTAAACATACATAATGGTATAAGTATGTGTTGCTTTGATAATCATCCCTGGATTAAAACATACCAAATAGTTAAGATGGGGGTCAAGTGCAATAGTTTTGGGTAGGAAAAGTGTTGCTTCTCTGTGCTTTATGGATTGCAGTTACTCTGAACCGTAATATTAACAGATCACATTAGTTAAGTCTGGACCACACTTGTGGATATTGCCTCCACTGCACATGTGGATAGAAAAAGTCAAGGTTTCTCCAGGGCTGATCTCCCCATTACAGGAATTTTTAGTGAAGCTGTAAGTCATGTCAGCTGCAGTTTCAGAAGGTTTTAAACTTACTGGAATCATGCAGTTCCCAGGTCAGTAGCTGTTTTTGCAAGATCTCTTTAGGGTGCTCTGTCTTCAACAAGAAAAAATTCCTCAAAGCCTTCTTCCATGCAGGAATTACAGAATGAGCTACTTGTTGGAATGAAAGCTGAGCAGCTGACTGGTCACATCAGTGACAGTTTGGGTTACTGTATCTTCAAAAATGGTGATTTTTGCAATCTTCCCATAGGAACCCAAATCTAAGGACTTGAAATCATATTCTGGGAGGTGTCCATAAATACAAACCCCAGATGGTGAGCTGTGGTTATCAGTGCCAGTCCCCCATGACTGAGGACACACTGGTCTCTTCTTAGCTCCTTCTACAGCTGAAGACAAAGCAAACTAGGTGGTCTTTAAGGTCCCTTCCAACCCAAACTAGTCCATGATTCAAATGGAAGTAGTGTTTTATTGTTCTTCCCTGTTCCTGGTGAAGTTCCCCCCTCGACAAACTTGCCCTCCTGTCAGCCCAGCTCCCCTGTGGCAGCAGAATCCATGGATGGCAGGTCTTTGAACAGGAGCTACATGCAGATGCTTGTTCATCCAGCAAACCAGTTCATGTTTTTTGTGTGTTTCTGCTCATTTAGGTGTTCATTCTATGTGTGTGATGCTGAGAGAGCCTCTCACTATTCAGACCTGCCTGTCTGGCTCTTATATCTGGGTCATCCCTGTGGAGAGCATGGGATGCAGCCTCTCTAGTCACCAGGTTCTGGGAAGAGGTTCTGATTAGGGGCTTAATGAGCATTGCCAATCTGTAGGAAGAAAAAGGATACTGCTCTATAAATTAATTACATCAGCAAATGAGGAATGAATATTAAGCCAAGGGACATTACCTGTCTTCACTGCTTTCCTGCCAGAGCTCTAGGAGAGGTGTGAGTGTCTTCTCAAGTCCTGGTTGCAGGTGTCCCCTGCTGGAGAGAGAGCTCTGAGGCCTTGGGAAGCTGCAGAGCTGTCAATGAGGCTTAACTGATGTGCTTGAGGCACTCTGAGCTTTGTCAGTGAATATTTTTATGATTTTATTGTGTGTTTTAGAGTTATAAGAAGAGGTGAAGGGGAGTACTGCAGCACAGTTTTATAGGGAACACTATAAACGCTTTCACTTTTGTTACATGAACAAAAATGTCAGCCAGAAGATGTTATTTTTAGTGTTCTTCAAATGAGTTTTGAGCTGCACTACTGGTAATGGCATATTTTACCTTTTGAAAGGCACAGAAATGAGATTAGCGGCACAGTTAAGATGGAATGGTCCTGTCCAGTGTGATCATCCTCTTCCTAGCCTCTCTAGGAGGACAAGGAGTCACTGGACAAGGAGTATATTTCCTTGGATTAAAAACTCCATGCATTCAATAAAAACTACCTGGATAGCCTGTATGGTCTAGCGGTCTGCTGTGATTTTTAAATTACTTAATACATGTCACCCTGAAAATTGGTAAAACCTAATGGTTTGAGATTAGTGGGTTTCACTTTTTAACCCTGTCACTGCAGTAGCAGAAGCTGCTGGTGGTGGTGAATTTTTGTGCTTTGCCACTTTGCTGTGTTGAGATTTCAGTTTTATATTGCTTACAAAGGAAGGTATGATTGGGGAATCCAGACTTTCCCATTCATATTATTGCTTTTGTGAGCAAGACTTCAGCTTATTTCTCCATTATTCTCTGGTCTCCAGTAGTTTTCCTTCTCATAACTGCTGAGGTTTGGACCTCAAAGGTCCAGAAATACCTAAAGAGTTGAACACACCTCTGCGATTTCAACTTGTAAATAGGTCAGCAGCTTCACTGGACTTAATATGTAGCATAATATGCTGGTCATAAATTTCCATGCTGGAAATGTGCATATAGGGAAGTCTGTATCTTATTTTATATATTCATGCGTGTTTATACTAGAATTCAAGAGCATGTGTTGTAGTTTATAAGGAATCTTTTCCTCCTGAGCAGACAGACTAAAACTATTTCACATTCCTATCCCTGCCTCTAGGAAGCTAAAGTCCTTTCACAGAAGAGAGGATGATAATCCTCTTTTTGCTAATTAGATATCTCTCCCAAAATACCCTTTTTCTGGATTGGATTGTGCTAGTTTTGGTGAGAGATGCATTGTTTCTGCAAGTTTGTCTCTCCACCGAAGATTAACATGTTCTAAAATGTGTCTGTGTGCTCAGGGGATAAAAAAAATGTTCAGTGTGGAGACTGTCACAGGGATTTCTGTCACACATACTCTACTTGAGAAAAATAATTGAGGTGTTTTGACAAAGGTTTTGCTCAGGTTGGGAGTTCTGTGATGACACTGTGTGGAATGTAATTTTAGGGAGACATGCCAACTCCTGTGGTTTAAAATTCCACTGTATGTAGTGGAAGAAGTAGATCTTCTGTTGCAATTACTAATTCCTAATCTTTTCTTAGAAGATTTCTGAGAAAGATTAACTGGAAGTTACACTGTATAATATAATATGTCTTTTTTTCCCCAGTTTATTGAGAGAACACTCAATCGATGGTACTGGCTGGGCTCCAACTAGGACATTAAAGGTACTATTCCGTTTTAGATGCATCCACTGAACTAGATATAGTTTAAAAATCCTTTTATGGACTTGGAAAGAGGCAGATAATGTGCTTTGCTCTAGAAACAACTGAGATTTTTGTCTCTTAAGTGCTGGTGGCAATACTAGAACAAGTACAGTGCTGACTGATCATAGAAACATTTGCCAGTTTTAGTGTAGCTGCACAAATCCTGCTGTGACTGATAAAAGGGTTTGTAGCTTGGTGGGACTGCAGGTGACCCTGAGACCCCCTGCTTGGTAAGGGGGTCTGCTGTTTTTTCACTCAGGCAGCAGTTACCAATGGCAAGAGCATGATGTGAGCAAGACCAGCAGTAATGTCTGGTAATTTCCATTGATATTCCTGACAAATCAGTGTGGAGCACTGAGCTGTAATCTTCCTGTTGCTGGAATTGTGCTGTTGATGAACAGTGTGACCACACAGTCCAGTTCCTTGTCAGTGCACTGAAGGTTGTGATGGGTGTGAGTTCACCACAGACCACAGAATTATGTGGAACAGGGAGAGAACCATGAGCCAGGGTGGGACTAGATGAGCTTTAAGGTCCCTTTGAACTCAAACCTCTATGAACATTTAGAAACCGTGGCTTGGAGCATCTGCTCGCCTCCATAACACTGTGTGAGTTTGCACAGTAGCACTCTGCATAGTATCCATTCTTGGCCAGTGATGGACTTGCAAATCAGTGTTTCATATTCCTCTCATCAGTCTTTTGAAGGCAGACTGGTTTTCTGGAGGAATAGTACCCAAATTTGTCCAATAAACACTCCAAACCACTGCTAAAATATTGAATTTGAGAATGGGCATGTACTGTACTTCTGCAATAAAAATTGCCAGGAATTACTAATGCAGCCATTCGCTGTGCATTAGTAAAACCACTCCAGTTAGATAACACATTAAAAGCCCCATGCACAAACCAACTCTGCTGTATGCTGCTGCATGCATGGAGCTTGTGTGATTAAACCTTTAGAAGGCTGAGGTTTCACACTGTGTCCCATCTTCCCAATCCTTGTGGTGGCAGCAGAACTCTTACACGAAAAATCCTTCAAAATAAGCTGCTGTGGCCTTTTTAATAATTGGCTTTAGTATCAAATGAGTAGAAACCTAAAGAAACTTTCTGAAATAAAAACAAAAATCTGCTAAATAATCTGTAAAATTATCTGATAAAATGTATTTTAACAGTGTAGAGAATTCTTAATTGTTGTTATGAGTTAACAACAGGAGCTTATTTACCTCTCAGTCTCCATTCTGTTGTGTTCTGCATCATTTTATTGTATACTTTCCTCTCTAAAACAGATAATTCTTATGAATTAAGGCTGAAGCTGAAGACTGCTGCAGTTATTTTGGGCCTCTGCTCAGAGTGTCTGAACTCGCTTTTCTCCTGCTTTTAGGTTTGATGTTCAAAATGGAAGTTTTCCAGACAGAAAGCAAATAATGGCTTTAAATCCATTCTGTTCTCAGATTTTATGTCACTGGAAATACCAGCTTTTAAACATTTTATGTGAATTAACGCAGTTGCTGTTACACTGATACCCTGCTTCTTCCCCTTCTGTAATCCCAGTTTCACACTCAAAAGTGCTTTAGTATCTCTTGTTATTCCTCAACATTCACATCTTTGTACCCTATTTGCCCTGACTGTGACCTGCCTAGTTAAGATACTCCTTAGTATTCTCCAGCTTTCTCCTAAATGCTTCTTTTCCCTTTGCTGTAAGAATATCTGGAGTGATTGATTTTTAAAAACTGAAAAAGTGGATCTGTGTACTGTGATTGCAGAATTGGTTCTAAAAGTCAAGCTGTTCCTTCTGTAATTACCTCTAACCAACTACAGCTGGAAATAGGTCCAAAAATAAGGGGCTGTTGCTGCTGTCAGGAGACACAGGAATGGGAAGTGTCCAGGTAGTCTTAAACTAAACCCACCTATAGGAAAGCACTGGTTTTCTCAGGAATTTGTCTCACATAACTTCAGATGCAAGGTTAATAAGTATCTGCCTGTGCTATTAAATTATCAAATCTAAAAAGAATTAACTCATTTCCAATAAACTATTGCTGTTTGGAGTTTATCCTTAAGAGGCTTGCTTATTTAATTAGTGTTTAGTACTAAATGGGAAAATTTTGCCCTCTTTGTTGCAGTAGTTCTGCTGTTGCCTTCATCAGTAAAATTACTTTATTGTTTATGCAATTTACTTTATTATTGCAAGTTACTTTATTATTTATGCAAATGCTAAACTAATCTCTTGGAGAAATAAATCAGAGGGTTGTGACTTAACTTTTCCAGTTAACTTTACCTCCATGTTTAAGCATCAACCTGAGTAGTTTTGAAAGTACAAAACTTCGATCCATCATCTTAAGGAAAAGAGGTGGTCTGCTGTCAAAATCATATGTAATCATTAGTGCAGAGGAGTATTTTAAACAGACAATAACTGTCACTGTCTTCAGGATGAAGGGAAAAAAGAAAACCTGTATGTTCTGTGTCATTCACATTAATTCTTGTTGCTCATTTTTTTTCTCAGTGTTATGGCACCATTGTACAGCTATTGATTTATTCAAGTTATGTTTTGGAATGGGTCTCTTTGTCTTTCTTCTCCACCTCTAAAAATTGAATAAGCCACAGACAAAAAAACTTCAGACCCAATGTTTTGTCAAGAGAAGATGTAAGCCACTAAAGACAATCTTCTTTGTAGATCTGACATTCTGTTTGCTCTTAAAATAAGCTTCAGGACATTTTTCTGCAGGGTTCTATTGTGTTGTATTTTGATTTTTATAAGTTGGCTTTATCAGTTTTGTAAGAAGTGATTTATTTCTTTCCTCTCTGTACCTGCCCAGGCTGGTGAAAACACACAGCTCAACATCTTATCATAGCCTTTGCTTCATAAAACATTTGCAAAAGTTTTCATTTTCCCTCTTTAGTATCTTCTGGTAAAGCCAAATCTTTGGTTTAGGCATAGTAGCTGCTATTGCTGGCATGTGAGTCAGGAGAGCAGGGTGGTACATCAGTAAGTCTGATTAAACTGTGGTTGTTTTCCCCAAATTGTTGATTTCTGAATATGCAATTTGTGTCAACTTTAATCAGTAGAGTAGGCTGGTTTCCTGAGGGCATGGCTTTAGTGTTCCTAATCCCTGCAGTGTAGTTCATTAGGGAGCTATCACAGAATTCCCCAGGGAACAATTTATACAAGACTATCTGCCTGCCCTGAAGTACCCTCGAGGACAAATGTCGAGGAGGCAGTGACAGAAGGGAGGGATTTTAGAGGAGTGCTCCTGCATACTTGGCAATTCGCAGCTGGCTTGGTCTGGGAGAGGAACAGACTGGAATTGTTCCTGTTTTCTTCCCTCTCATATATTTAAGCACAGAAGAAGTCGTTTTCCAGCCTTCCTCCTTTTTTTGTGTTTGCTAACTGGAGCAGTTCATGCCATTTAAGTTCCCCAGAGCCCTCTGTCAGCTGCTGCTGTGCTTGGGTGGGAAGCATGGACTGGGATGGCAGGCACATGAGAATTGAGATACCCTTTGTGGGTGACTTATCCCAGGTGGAAACGGTGTTGTTCCCGCTCCAGGAATTCTCAGAGATGGGAGAGGAAATACAAAAGAGAAAATTTCATTTGGGAGAAGACTCTTTAGGAGGGAAGAAGTTTTTTCTACATCTCTGGAGAGAAAACTTTTTTTTTTTTTTTTTGAAAATAGGATCAATGATAAATTTTGTGTGCTCGGTTACATTTTAGCAGTTGCAGAGAGGTGGTTACTCCGTGGGGGGAAATCCCAGATGTTTGAGGAGGAGAAGCATGACAGAGGCTGGGGAAGGTGGGGCTTGTTGGGATGAAAAGTGCTTGGCTTTCTGAGCTGCAATGAAGGGAGAAGCTGGGCTTGATTTTAAGACATGATGGAAGAAGGTGAATGGAAGAGGAAAATCACCTGGAGCTGGTGCCTAGGCAGACAGGATAGCAGAGAGCTGCTCCAGGACACTTGTTTTATTGGAGTTGTTGCTTCAGTTTATAAAGCAAACCAAAAATATTTGCTCCAGACATCTTGTATAAATGACTGCTGCTCCTTTCGTTCATCTGAGCGGCTTAAATTGTTTGTTTATAAAAAGTGGTTTAGCAACGAGCTTTGATTTAATCAATCTGTTAGATCTGAAATGCTCCTTGGATCTCTAAAGGAGTTTCTTTAATTGGAAGTTCATTAGCTGCTTTTGTCTGGCTTGCTCTCTGCTTAAATTAATGTATTAAATATAGTTTGCCTGTTAAAGGAAAATCTTAATCTGCAATTTACGCATTTGTTTTCCCATGAAAAGAAGTGATGTGGTTGTGTTTTTGAAGCCCTTGTTTGTGTCGTGGTTTCAGTGGCATTGCTATTGTGAAGTGGTTGTGAGAACTGCCACTTGGGAAGGGCTGGCGACTAGCAGAATTAGGACCTCCTGCAAACCCAAAGCTTTGAGACTCACTGGCCTCAGGAGAGGCGACTTCAAAGCTGTATTGAGGGTTTGGATTCATTGCTTTTGAACTTGAAACACTGCTGCAGTGGCAGGGTTTTTTTCTCCTCGGTTGGCATGCTGTAAATAAATCTGTGGGCAGTGGTTTGGTGTAACTTTTCACTCAAGTGCAACACGAAAATACTCCAGAACAAAAAGGGATGATTATAAAGGGTTATTTACAACTGTCTGATCTTCTGACTTGCTTGTGTAGACTTCTCCACACTCGACCTCAAAATGGTGATATTGCCATGGAGCAGAGTGTTTCCCTCTATTCCCTCTTCCACTTACTGTGGATTTAGCCAAGTACTGCTCTGCTTGGGAACTCTGGCTCGTTAGCTCAAGTGTCGTCCTTAAATCCTCTGAACTAATGAAGTAGATGTTAATTAAACTCCCTTGCATTCCCAAGACCTGCTGTTGACACCCAGAAGCATCTAACCCCATGGGTGTCATCTGTGCTGATGCAAAGCCTCTGAGACACTGGGCAGGGAATAGGGGCCAGCTGGACACAGCTGGGCTGGGCACAGCTGGAGGAGGACCCCAATAAAGCAGCTCGGGCAATTCAGCAGCTTTGCCTGTAGGGTCCAGCCTGGGCAGACCTTGGTGCTTCAGTCCAGAAAGCACAAGAGGTTCTCAGCTTTGCTCTGGAGTGACCCCTCAGCAGTGGGTGCACTTGTGCTCTGTCACATGGATGTCAAGCACAGAGAAGAAAATTGATAAAAAGCAGGTTTGTAAAGGAAACAGCCTTGTCAGGTGTTACTTTGTCAGGTGGAGATGTCTGATTCTCCTCTAAGAAGGGAGTTCTCACTGAGGTGCAGCAGCATCAAGTGTGCACTATTAGCTTTTTAAGTTGCCATCTGCCCTGCTCCTGCCTGTGGAGATAACCTTTAAAAATTCTCATATGTACACCCAAATTTCTGTTTTCAGAGTATTTAAGCAGAACTTCGGTAAAAGTTTGAAACCAAGGCTGATGCTTTATTACACTGAAGGAAAATAGAAGTTTTTGAACTGTTGAATCTGACAGGATCTTTGGTGGCTCGCACATCATTTAGTTCCTTTGGAAAATGCATTCTTATCTGCATGCAGCAGGCAGCTCTGGAGTCAGCAATGCAAAGGCATTCTTTCTGGTTTCTCAAATACAAAATATTTGTTTTGCTCTTGCTCATCTGTTCCATCCCATTTCCCTTTCTCAGTATCCGAGATTTAAACCCAAGCTAGCCTCAAACTCATTACAAAAAGTGTTGCCCTCTGGTAGGAATTTAGCATTATTATTTTTTTATGGAGCCATGCAAGGGTATAAAATGAATCCAGCAAGTCATAAAAGTTGTATGGTGGAAACATCAAAAATTATATTAAGAATTTCACACATAAGTTATTCAGTAATAATAATGATAATCCTGTTATGCTTTTTGCTGTCTAGAATGGCAGTGAAAATGTACAGCATTCTGACAACTTGTACCCTTACAGAGTTTTTGCTGTTTTGTTTTTTTTTTGTGATTGTCTTTTTTCTTTTTTAATGAAACTCTCTGCAAAACCAGTCAAGCATCCCAAAGCCCTAAAATAAGGGCTCAGCAAATAAGAATTTGGGAGCAATTTATTATATAATGGAAAAACAATTTGGTATCACATTTGTATTTCCACCACCCCCTAAAACATCCACTGCCTCCTGGAGGGCAGTAAAGCCTCTGGGGGCAACAGTGCAAGGGGCTCCCTGTAATTCAGTGTCTGGGTCGTTCCTTTCATGCAGTTTGTGTCTGTGCTGCCACTGAAGGTCATGAGTACCTTTGAAAGTTGCTGGTTTTGCCATACAGGTCAAGGTGCTGACACTGGAAACACAATAATCAGCTGTGCTGGGCAGATTCACCTTTTTAAAGCAAATAAACTGGGCAAGGTTATTTGTGCAAGATCAAAGGGAAATTGGATCGTGAGAGGCTGTTTTCCACGTAATGCTGACATCATGTCTTTTTCATTAGGACATAATTGCATAGTGTCCTTAAGGGATATGGATTTCTGTGATCCACCACTCAGCAGAGGGCCCAGAGCAGGAAACAAGCTGAAATACACTCAGTTATTGAAGTTCTTTGCCGTGGATAAGAAGTTTTTACTTTGAGGCTTTATCTTTATTGTAAAAGGCGTGTTTTAGCCATGAAATTAATAATGTGCAGTCTTTGTCCCACGGGTGGAAATGAGGCAGTGTGGGTTTCATGGGCAAGCAGTCAAGTGCTAGCAGGCTGTCACGAGATCAGCCCTGATCTCTGCTGAATTGTCTGGTAGGTGTGAGCTCCAGTGCCTGGACTGCAGTGGAATTTTGCAGTAGGGAGCTTGGTTATATCACTGCTAAAAGAAATAATCTTTTCTGTGGGTAGGAAAGCGGAGCCTCTGAATGGTGGTAGATGATTCTTTTTGGTCTCTTTCTGTAATATTTGGATTTTGTGCATTTTCTTCCTCTTTGAAGGTTATCAATGGATTCTGAGGTCAGTGCTAATAGAAATAAGCTGCTTGGTGACACTATTTGGAGGCAGGTCCTGACACTTCCTGTTTGCAGGAATTGCAAACCCTCTTTCTTCAGTGTGTTTAAATAGGTACTTAAAGGTAATAGAATTATCTGAGACATATGCTTATATAAGAACAATATTTTTTCATACTCATACTACACCTAACTCTTTTCTCTGCTATTTTGACAGTTTCAAGTATTTGTCTGCCACCATTTTAATTTTTTCATGCATTGCTGAATTAAGTTTTATACCCACCCTTTATGCTAAGGAATGCAGTTTTCAGTTGGTGGCATATACTAAGGTATTACTCCTCTCCTTGACTGGAGAAGCAATAGGAATACGGCTCCTGTGCACACAGATCTGAACTTTTATTTGAATGTGCAGTATTTGGTTTTTGCTGACTCCTAAATATCAAGTGTCCGTGAAATGGGAAAGCTTTTTCAATATTTTCACTTAAATTAGTTAAACGTCACTCTTAATCTAGATTTAATTTCCAGTAATTTAATGATTAATAGAAAAATTAAGTACGTGAATGTGTTCAGAACACCTGAAATGCATGTCTGACTGACTGTGTTTTTCCTTTGCAGGATGTTGTCTGGGGATTAAACTCTTTATTTACTGTAAGTAAAGGAATATTTTGCATATCCACTTTTCTTTTTCCTACCTGATTTAGCTTGAGCATCTCCTAATGTGAACCCTATGTGTTGCCTCTAAAAGTTTATTTTCCTCTACTTCAGTGGGGGTTATACAAGAATTAAATCAGTTTGTGCTTTTTTCTTCTGTGTAACTGCGAGACTAGTACAGGTGGTCTGAAGTGCCGGCTTTTTGTACATCCCTTTTACTTTTGGTTAGACATATTATGGGGCATTTTGATAACATGTTACTTGGTATTTTCCATGCGACATGAAATTTCTTCCTTGAAAATGGAGGAGAGGGCAGGAAGCTGTAAGAGGCAGTCAGGATCCAACAGCTGCTGTTGTACTAAAAGTGGAAAGGCTGAGTCTTTACTTGTACAAAAGTTGCCTCTTTAAGGGATTCCAGGGTTATGGTCCCTTTCCACAGCCACTGCTGCTGGGTAGGAAGGTCAGGAGAAAGCAAAGAGTGACACTACCTTGGTGGCCACATTTGTCATCCCCTCTGGAGAGAGCTACCCCAGCCACTCCAGGATGTAGAAGGGAGGGTGTGAAAAGCTTTGGATGAGGAACATTGCTGTGGGCTTCCCTAGTCCCAGCCCATTTTTGGAGAGAGGAATTCCTTTCACCACTGCCTGCAGGGGCACAGCAGTGGCTGCACTCCCGGTGCTGTTGCTGGGATCATGGTGAGTGTCTGAAATCACCAGCATAGCCCAGGCCAGTGACTGACTACAATCTGCTGGGATTTCCTGGCACCCTAAGGCTTGACTTGTTTCAACAACTTCTCTGGTAAATTGATTTTAGGAGATTGGAGAACATTTGCCTTTTTAACAAAAGGTAATTACGTTTCACAGTCAGTCTCCCACTCCATGCTAAGTAACTGGAAGGAAGTAAAATCCAGTGGAAGTACAAAGGAATGCCTTCAGGGGCAGAACTGCACATAAAAATACCCTGTAGGGCAAACAGCTGTAGAGTGTGATGGTTGTGTGTCGGAGACCACAGGGATTTGTCATGGCCGGTAAGAACTGTGCTTCCCAGCTTCCCTCTTGGATTTTCCACACACCCAACTTCTTATAAATAATTAGGCTTTGGAGTGCTGGCATGGGTCACACTGGTCTTGCAGGGTCTTTTGGGACTTCCTTGAAGAAAGAGAGTGGGAACGATGTGGATAGATGTACTGCCTTGACTGCTGCCTGAAAATGAGTCAGAGACTGACAGGAGCCTTTCACGCTTGTGGAACAGCAGTATTCCACTCAGTCATAGACTGAACTAAACTGGGGAAAGGATCTTGGCTGCAGTCAGAATAGGGATTTGTGGGTCAGCATTATTTTTAATGACTATTCCCTTTCCAGCAGCATCGAGTTCTGCCTTGTTTTTAACCCTAGACCCTTTCTCCTTCCAAAGTTAGTATTTGAGATTAAACTGAGAGATAGGAGGTTTATTTTGACTTTTTGCTCCCTGACCACACATACCCTTAGTTTCTGGGCTTTCTTTTCCTTTTGGCCCTGTTTTTCTCATACCGCTAAAACTTCCCTATTTCTCATGCTCCAGGTTACGTAGTTTCTTCACAGGAGGGAATTATATTGCTTTTCTATGGAGAGATGGCATTAAGGAAACTTCTACCTCATCACTATGATGTTTCCAGGGGTTTTTTTTAAGGGTTTACTTTACCTTTGAACAAAAATCAACAAGAGCTGTGCCTCCTGAAAATTTGAATGTTCCTTCGAAATTGGGCTTAAAACTGTCTCAGTTTTCAAGAAATGTGTCACTGCCAGGGAGGAGTGTCACAGGGCCACATGTGGCCTGCCACCAGAAGGGCTCAGATGCCTTGCTGCTGTTGTCCTTTAATTGTCTTACGATTTGGTTTGCAATCATCAGACTCATTTGTGGTTTCCTTTGGCAGGGACACCACCAGAGTAGTGAGAAAATGGCACTGGCCTTGCCGGTCCTCTTTGCTTCGTTTTGTTCTCTTGTTCACTGGGGCTTCAGGCTCTGGGTGTGATGCACTGAGTGGGAAACCTGTGATGTTCTCTGTTTCTTTTCTAGGATCTTTTGAATTTTGACGATCCCTTGAATATTGAGGCTGCAGAGCATCATCTGCGTGACAAGGTGAGTCAGTGGTTTATTTCAAGCCTGTTGTTCCTAAACAAATACACGTTCTGTACTCGCAATTCCCAGTCAGTCCTTTTAAAGTGCTCGCGCTGGTACTTCAGGCAGTCAAGTGACTCATTGTATCAGCAACCAGTTACTCAAACAAAAAGTGCTTTCTCTGGGAAAGTAAACTCCACACAGCAGTGTTAGTCACTGTATGCTGGAGTTGTTGACCATAATGTAGTCATGTCCCCAAAATAGATGATCTTTTCCCTCTCGTTTCTGAGATTTTTTTTCCCTGAAGTTGTACATGTTCCGTGCAGCAAGTTATAGTGACTTGGCTTGTCGCAGTGACGTGAGTAGCCTTTATCTTAAAACACCTGTGGAAAGATCTCTTTTTCTGTCCCTTTCCAAAGGCAGCTTTTTTTCTTCACAGCTCTTACATCTATCACGCTTTTATAAAGCCAGGAGAAATCTGGGCATATTTAAAGGGCAGGAGTGAAAACTTCATTTTCTTTTTACTGATCCTAATTTTAGTGTGTGCATTATGGGCTGGGTCAAAACATGGTCTTGCTTGGTGGCCTGGTGAACATGTACTGCTCAGCTTGAGAGAGAGTGTGGAGATAAAGGTGAGTAAAAGTGCTGATTTCTTCCTTGTATCGATGTCCAAAATGGCATCACATTTTATTATATAGGTTCATTCCTCAGGCACACAGAACTTACATTTGGCATGCTCAAGATCACTTCTTTTAATTAAATCCTCCTGATACTTTTGTGGGGGTTAACCTCTAAGATGGAAGAAAGCTTCCAGGTAAGCATTGATTTGAAGAGTTCATTGGAAGTGCAGTCAGGCAGTGCACCTAATTTATCTCATTTTTTCAAGAGGAAATAACAGGATTGCAAGTTCATCTTTCCAGCTGTTTTTTGATTAATGAGATCTTATAGTTATTCAGGTATTTATCAGTGTTTGCAGGGCTGGGATGAGACCCTAAACCTATGTTGAGAAAAAATTGCTAGAAAGCTACTCTGGAAGAGAGGGTTTTTTGTGGCTTTGTTTTATCATAAGGGGCCTTAAAGACCATCTTGTTCCAACTCCCCTGCCATGGGCAGGGATACCTCCCACTAGACCAGGTTGCTCCAAGCTCACAAGAGCAGAGTAGAGGGGGAGAGTCACCTCTCATGACACCTTCCAAAGCATAAAACACTTGTCACAGAATTGTTTGGCTTTTTCAGGTAACAACAGCTGTGGAAGAAGTGAAAGGGAAATTGAGTGGGTTTTTGCCACTCTTCTAAATTACAAATATTCTTGGAACGAGCGCTTAAACTCTAAGGGTACTCTTCATAGGCATCTGTAAAATTCCTATTCTGCCATGTTAACTTTTTTTTGGGAGGTTATTTGAATTTAGTAGAGGTGTTTCCTTGGTAGTGACAGCACCAGTTAGTGCTACCTTTTCTGTAGTATGTCTTACAGCAACATCAATAAAAACCAGTGATGCCTGTGTGGGGAGAATAAATTATGCAAGGGAGAGAAAAGGCTGCTCAGAGGATGCAGTTGCAGCCTGAGTTAGCTTTTTGTTTTTCTCTGGTATAGGTGTCATGTAGCATAGAAACACTTTGTTGTGGAGTCAGACTGCAGTGGTCCCATCCTGGCTCTTAAGAAAATCCTCGCAATGCTCCATATGGGAATGCTAATTAATTTTCTTTTCCCTGAGATGTTTTTATGTGTCTAATCAATGACAGAAATAGTGTATTTGTAATGCATGTGCTCCCATTCGCAATGTCTATGCAAACAGATGTGCAAATGTATCTATATACAAATAGTTTTGTGGACAGACATCTGTGTCCAGCAGATCCTGCAGGAGAATCCTGACAGCCCGGCAGTGTGTGTGGCATGGAACAGCCAAACCACGTGTCCCTCAGGCTGTCTCCTGTGGTTCTCCCAGAGGAGATGACTCAGTATTTCACTGAAGTCATTTCAGATTTGAAATCCTGGAGTCCCTTTGCTGACATTCCAGGCTAAGTGTGGCTGCCCAAGAGGTTAACAGTTAATCCAAGGCCTTGCCTCTGGCTATTGAAAATGCTGGGTTTTGTTCAGTTACACAGGCTGGTTTTAAGTCATCACAAATAACTCCTGCCTTGCAGATGCTGGAAGAAGTCTCGTCAGAAATACCAAGTCCTTATTACTGATTCTTGGAAAACAGCTGTGCTGGGAATGTTTGTGTTACATCAGGCTAGAAGGGACAGTTGTGATCCCTTCTTGTGTGAGGGACCTCTTCATTTTTGCATTAAATCTGTGGCTTATAACTGAGCTCACAGTTGTGGCTTTTGGGGGAGCAGCCTTGTTCTGCTCTTACATCTGTAAGATGTAAAAATAATGCAAAATTCAGAGCTTGGGTTTTATAATGAATTAACCTCTCTTACCTGAGACCTGAGTACACCTTCAGCTTCCAGCCCTCCAGGATCAACTTCAGCTCCAGTTACTGAACTTGTTCCATTCCAACTTCCTTCAGCCAGTGAGCATCGAGTCTCTTTTACACAAATTATTTTTTAAAGTACATATGATTGTTTATGCCACTTTAGTCATAAACTTTTTTGCCAGGTGCCAGTAACTTTTCGCAAGGTTGTACAACAAATTTGGGCAGAGTTATCAACATTTGTTTCCACAAATGCTGGACAAAGAGGTTATCTCAACGTTCTGACTTCCTAGCCCTCTGTATCCAAAAAACTGCCTTCTTATCAGAAGTGTTCTAGAGACCTATGTTGTAATTGGTTATTTTTGTCAAAAAGCCTTTTTGGTGACAGCTGATGTTATCTGCCACTTTGTGTGGCAGAGTTTTGCAGAGGTAGGACCCTGTAGTTGCCTGCATTCAGAGGGACTTGTCAGGTGATTTCCTCATCACTGAGATCCAGATTGTAAGGCTTCAGTTTTGCCCATTGTGAGCTTATCTTATGGTTGGCTTCAAGGGGTGGTGGATGCTCCAAAGTTTAGGTACCCACATGGTAATATTTCTCTCCATCTACATGTCCCCCCTTTGAACTCAATCTCACGTTTTCTTGTCATCTTCTCATGTTGCTCGGTAACGTTCTCATCACTGCTGGGGGGCTGTTTTTTAGGTCCCCCCCCAGCCTTCTCCTCTCTACCACTAAGCCCTGTTGCTTCAGCCTCTCCTCGTGCCAAGGCCTTCCCAGCACTGCTGTTCCCAGCCCAGCATGTGGGACTGTCCCCATGCAGGGTCTCATTGGGCCTTTGTATTTGGCCTTGCTGGGCCTCCTGGTGGTGGCTGCTGGCCTTTCTTGCAGCCCCAGCAGGCCCCTCTGGAGAGTGGATTTGCCCTCTGGCATGGTGACTGCATCCTCTTTAGCGTCTGTATTTTTGTGGATCTGCTGCCAGTTTCCACACTCAGCCAGTTTTTAAGCTGAAATTTTCTTGCAAGCTCAATTCACTGTGACTTTTGGCATTTAATAAAGCATTCGGATAAAATTGTAGGTTCCCTTTGCTTTCCTTCCCCCCCCTCCCCCCCCGCATTCATTTAACTTATAATTGTTTCCAGCTTAGGGGAAGTTTGCATTGTTCACTTTTGCAGCACCACTTTCTGGAACAGTCCTGGTGCCCATGTTGTTCTGCATTTAGGTCACAGTCACTGGGAGATAATCAATCACCCTCTCTTGGTTTAGAGCTCAGTAAATTGAAATAAAGGATGACTGATGTCTCTCTGTAAACTAAACAAGGTGTTTCCCAGCATTCAGTCTTCTCACACTGATGCAATCTCAGCAGTTTGGTGGTATGAGGTTTTTTTATTGAATTTAAGAAACTCTTACTAGGTAGTGAGGTGGGACTGCTTTGGATATAGCAGAGACATCAACCTATCAGCAATCAAATGGATGACCAGAGCCATTAACTGCCAATCGAATCAATTCCACAAATTCCAAAGCAATGAGCAAGTGTTGAAGTTTTAATGACTACTCACCTAAAAATGACGAGCTAAAAATGGTAGGATTTGCTGTTTTGTTCAGTGAGCACATAGAACTTTGAGTTCTACTCTGTGGCAACCAGGTAATAATAATAATGGCCAGTCTTCGCGAGCGAAGATCCGGGGAAGGTCTTTACACCTTCCAGCCTGCGCATTGGATTTTTTAGGTGAGACACAGTGTGCGCAGAACTGAGCCCACCCTTTAATCCTAAGGTTCATCTGCCGGGGCCAAGCGAGCTTGGACGGTGGCAGCGAGGTCCTTAGGACGTAGGTGGGTTGCCTTTTAAGGGCTAACGAGCCCCACCTGCCCGGGAGTGGCCCTGACCGGGAATCGAACCCGGGTCTCCGCGGTGATAGCGCGGCGCCTTTACCTCTAGACCACCAGGGGCTGCCGGCAACCAGGTAGGCTGAATACTGAAGGAACAGGGATGTAACTTGGATATGCAAAATCAAATGAGTTTTAGTAGTTCGGGACTTGTGTATTCCTCAGCCAGAGGTACTGTGGCTGCAGTGTCTGTGATTTGTTAGCTGAAATCCAGAGAATACTTTCCATGTGTCCATCTGTCATGGTTGTTTTGAGATACTACCTCAGGACACTGCAATTCTCTGGGGCCATTAAAAGCCCTTACATTTCCTAGTAGTGTTTACTTTGCCCAAAAAACATTTCAAAGCCATATGTACAACACACAGCAGGAAGATTCATTTCATTCTTCACGTGGCTTAAAGTAGAAATGTGTTTTCAAGTACTCTTTTGCTTCTTCTTTTGCTTCTTCTCCACCTAGACCTGCCATATGAGGAATGCTAATGCTGTGTCCTATTTCACTTGTATTTGGTGCAATTTAAAAGGCTAAAGCAAGTTTTGTCATGCTGCAGATGAGCAAATACTGATTTACTTGTTCATCCATGTGATCTGGAGTTGTTTCAGTAGGAAAAGCTTAGTAACATCACCCTGTGTTGTTTCCCTGCACGACCTTCCCATCCTCTCAGTGAAACTCATCTGTCAGCATTCAGGGCCTGGAAACACTTCATGCCATGTCCTTGGGAATGAGTGAGGTAGATTGCACTCCAGGAGTTTTTTACTCTTGAGAAAATCCATCTTGTTGTATTTACCTGCAGCTCTGAAGTGCAAAAACTGAGAAGTCTAATGGGAATAAGTGTGTGTTTGCCAAGAATCCATCTTAAACTTTTTACTTAATTGAGTGAGTCCTGGTTTTGTTTGCATGCTCCTTGGAAAGCAGTGACATAAAATTCTAATTCTAAACTTTGGGGATGCACTAAACAGTAGGTGTTCACTGCTGCCTCCAGGTGATCATTAGATCAAAGAAGGTCATTAATGCCTCACTTTTGTGGCCATCCCTTTGCTCATCACAGCCAGAGGAATGGAGGCCGTTGTGAGAATCATCATTAACTGGCTCTGGAAATACCGAGTTGCTCGTGGATGTGGAGGGGTCAGTTTGCTGTTTCCAGCATGCAGTCTGGGTGCCAAGCTGTCCTGAGCTGTACCTGCTTTGTTGCATTTCCCAGTTTCTTCCTGGTTTTAAAAAACATGCAGCACACCAACACCATGCAAAAAAGGGGTCTTGGTTTTGCCTTTCCCCCTCCTGGTCTTCTGCTCATGTCAGGAAAGGGAGTATTAATTACTTCCCTGCCTTTTTCAG